TGTACTAAAAATTACTAAATTTGGTACAATTTGGATATGGGAGAACCGATAGAGCTGGAATCCTAAAATTTGGAATTGGGATTACTGTGGTAGAGTAAGATTGGGATATATAAGAAGCTTTAAAATTTCGTACTTATGTGTACTACATGGAACTAAATTTGGTACAATTAGTATATGGGCAAAGTGATAGGAGTGGAATCTTGCAATTTTGAATTGACAATACAGTGGGAGTATGAGTGAACCTATAGAGCTGGAGTCCTGTGATTTGGTATTATTTTAAAATAAGTACCATAAAAGTACAAAAGCTATTAAATGGTACAGAATTTAATATTGGTTGTACTGATAGAGACTGATTTCTTAATTTTGGCGTTGGGTCAGAATTGGTGTGTAGTTATGTGATATGGAGGTGGTTTTGGAAATACGTACCGTAGATGTACGAAAAGATACTAAATTGTTAAATATGAATTATTATCGATATTGGTTTTGGAAACAAATGCTTATGTGAACGGAAAGTGCAGATTGGTACTAAATTTGATTGTAGGTATTTATATATATAAAAGATTACTGAAATAACTGACTGACTGCATTGGATCTCCATCGGATAATCAAAGCTCAAATGAAACGACTAAAGCTAGAACCTAGAAATTTTGCACGAGGCTCAGTCTTGATGCGTAGGCATGTGGTACTGCTGAGTTTCGTCTAAAAATGTACTAAAAATGTAATACTTTTATTGGAAAAACGGAATTAGCTAGAATTATGACATTTGGAATGTAAGTCATTGATAGAGTGCAGGATAGATGTACCAAAGGGTGGCAATTCGAACATTAAGGTTACGAAAATTTCTAAATGGAAATAAAATTCAAAAATGATACTATTTGGTATTATATGAACGGATAGATCAAAAACTTTAAATTCTGTATGAGAATCAAGGTTCGAAAGTAAGTTTGATATGCGAAGGTGCTTTTGAAAATGTGTACTAAGTATGCGAACTGAACTAAATGGTACTAATTTTGAAACAGTTTGCTTTACAGTAAACAGATGAAGCTGCAATTTGAAATTTTGTATTTGGGTCCCTGATGGTGTTAAGTTTTGGAAATGTGTACTAAGATTCTACCAAAAGAACTAAATAGTACTATTTTTGTTATAATTTGGTATGGATGAACAGACAGTACTTGAAATCTGAAATTTTGGTATTGAAGTCGCTGATCATGTATAGCCTGGACATATGGAGGTGGTTACGGAAATATGTACTATAATTTTACGAAAAGTACTGAATGGTACTAAATTTGGTATTGGGTGAAGGGATAGGTCTGGAATACTAAATATTACTAAATTTGGTCTTTGATGAAGGAATAGGGCTGGAATCCTGAAATTTAATATGGATGTCACTGTTGGTGTTGAGAGAAGGGTATGTTTGTTGGATATGCGTACTACTGGAATTGTATAAATGGTACTCAATTTGGTAAGGTGGGAAATAACAGAGCTAAAATTCCGAAATTTGATATTGAGAACACTGTTGATTTCTAGGTTTTACATATAGAGACGTTGAAATAGTTTTGGATAGAAAAATTGAATGTGTATCAATTGTCCAGTGGTTTTACTAATATCCTCTTCGGTAAACTCCAAATTGAAACACTTTGAAGACTTTTTGGTATAAATGGTAAACATTTTTCAATGATTATTTTCGAAAAAGAAAAACTTGAATAGTATATAAAGATCCTTGAAAGTCTGAAAGTTTCAAACTGAACAAATTTTATGAGAGATCTAATAATTAAAATTTTTGAGCCGTTGTGTAGGAGGTACCAGAAGAAGTGAACCGATGTTGGCCATCTCCGAACTAGTTCTATGTTTGATAATAATATTACGATCTACAAAGTTTGGACCAAATCGTATACTAAATTCGAGAATTACCGTGCACACCAGCCAGAGAGACGGTCGGACAGACATCTCTGCACCGACTCCAAATATCCTGAAACAGATTTAGTCCAAAAAGACCTAGGGTCTAAAACCGTTATTTGAATGAGGCACGTTTTGGCACGTTATACCTTCTGTAGCCATATTACTAAGCATACTAGTTCAACTTATATAAGTTGACTTTTCGCTTGCAAGTCTTAAAAAAAAGCTAATTTCGGCCAGGCCGAAACATTTATATCCTCCACCATTAGTAAGGAACTTGAAAAATTTCGAAAAAATCCATTGAAAAACGTGGTGCTGGATATCCAATTTTTTGTCATAGGCTGTAGTACAGATTCCGAACTTCAAATACGATGTTTTAAAACAAAATGTTATCAAAATACGGAATAAAAGGAGGTACCGTTGCACAGGGGCTATATAAGGACGTAGACCTGCATAGACAATTTTCCGTCGTAGGTTGTAGAACCCATTACAAACTTTAAGTACGAAATTTGAAATAATTTCGCTAAAATCATGGAAATACGGAATATCAGTGGGTACCGTTATATGGAAGCTTTACTAAAACGTGGACCTATATAGACAATTCTCTTCCAGGGGGTAATGTACTCACACGGAACTCCTTTTGTGAATTTTCTTTTTTCTTTCAGGGTTTAAAGTATTCACGAAGAACTGCTTTTGTAGAATTTCACACAATTCCATTGGAAAAATGTGATTGAAATCATCAAAATTCCGAATATCGTGAGTACCGTCATGTGGGGGATATACGATATCGTGGACCTATATAGTCCATCTTCGGAATTTACCTGCCTGCAGATAAAAGACAGATCGTTGAACAATTTTAACTTCTAATCTTTATTCGTTTCGACTCTAGCGTGATTACAACAGACGGGGGATGGACAGGGCTACATCGTCTTAGAATTTTACGCTGATCAAGAATACATATACTTTGTTGGGTCTGAAATTATTGTTTCGATGATTTGCAAACGGAATGACGAATTCCATGTACCCTAAAATTAACTCAAAATCTCTCTCACTCTCTCTCTCTCTCGCTGCCGTTTTAAAATTTAAAAATATTTTTAGAAAATGGAAATTTAATATCATGAAATTTGTTGCATTCAAGTTTTCGATCTTTTCATGGTTCGGAACCACTGTGCTATAATCTAAAACCGTTATTTCGATGAGGTGCATTTGGAACATATCAAATGATATTCGTGCACTGTGTAGCCAAAAGGCTGAGGTTTCAATAGCAATGTTAGCTCGTAATTTTCAGCACAATTTATTTACTAAGAACATAGAGTGTTACAAAGATCACGGAATATTTCACAACTTTATACAAATCTTCATGCAACACAGAACTTTTAAAATTGCACCAAAGCTTTTTCTCATCAGCACCACCTTATATACAGCATTGCGTTGTTGCTTTTGGAATATATTTGGAAAGTAAACTTGTTTTGTTACTCTATTGTTGCGAAGTTTTCAACGAAATAACAAATGGAAAGCCAACAGGAATCTATGGAAATTAAAAACTCAACATCTCCATCATCGCCATATCCCACATGGATCGAGGCATCAAATTTTGAATTATTATTTCGTAAGATAATTACAAATTTTGAACGAATACAAGATTTTGGGGTACAATCAGCTCTAGAACCTGGAGAAAATTATTCTACTGAAATTCTGAGTGTAACGGCAAAAGTGGAATTGAAGGGTATGTCATAGAATAATAATTTGTTTTGATTTATTTTTTATAGAAGTGCAGGGTGAGATGAAAAAACTGCAACCAACTTCAGATTGCTGTCATTTCTAAGCCACTCGTCCAACAGCTGTTAAAATTATTCCAGTGACAGCTCATTATATGGTTTACAAGTGTACAAAAGCATTTTGGTGAGACTTTTCCGAGAAAAAAGTTATTCGCGAAGGAATTCAAGCGTGATAGTGTGATTTCTTTGTATTTCGCTGGAAAACCACAAGTGGCTATCGTTAGAACACTCCAGCATTTAAATGTGAATAAATCTTTTGTGTCTCGTAAAATCGCTCGTTACGCGTTGTACTGGTAGCGTAGCCCAACGTCAAGGAAGTGTACGGAAGAAAACAGAAACATCAGCAGAAATGGTTCGAAAAGTAAAGAAGTGACCTGGTCGAAACTCGCGTCGCAGTGGCCGAAAAATGACTCGTGAGCCGAACATATAGCAATATTCCATTCGGCAACTATTGAAAAATTAGCTCGGGGTAAAGCCATTGACATTCCAAAAAGTGCAAGAACTACACCTCAACAGAAAGAAAATGGACTCAAAAGAGCTAAAGAGATGCTTCGCTTGGTCCAAAGTGGTGAATTGCCGAATTTGGTTTTCTCCGATGAGAAAACATTCATTGTTCAGCAGGTTGTAAACAAACAAAATGATTTCGTGTACTTGCCAAAGAGGTCAGCTGAAAATGTGCGTCTTCGGTTGGCCACCAGAACGCAAGCGCCGGCCATGGTGATGGTGTGGGCCGCCATAACAGCCGATGGTCGCTCTCCGCTCGTATTAATCGACCGTGGCATCAAAATAAATGCCGAATATTATCGCGAAAATATTCTGGAGGGTGTATCAAGCCTTGGGCACGCAAACATTTTGGCCGCAGGCCTTGGACATTCCAACAGGACTCAGCACCATCGCACTCACCAGGCGTCATCCAAGAATGGTTACAAAATGTGGTTCCTCATTTTTAGCGTACAATGGCCACCAAAATCTCTGGATACCAATCCGTAGGACTATTGTGTCTGGAGTATTTTGGAAAGCAACGTTGGCACTAAAAAATACCAAAGTGTCGATCACCTCAGGCAAGCGCTTCGCGGGTCCAAAATACCACATTCGGGGAGCGTGTGACGGTATCATTGGCCGTTTGAAGGCCATAATTCGTGCCAAAGGTGGCCAATTCGAACAAATCTAAACTTATTCTAAAATTTGATGCTATTTCCGACAATTTTTTTTTTCATTCCATAAAATTTTTTAAAAATGTAAAAGTTCGGGTTTGGTCTCAGGACAGCTACACCTTATGAATCTGAACTTAATACTTTCTTTGTGGTTTCGTCTCATTCTTTCCAGGTGCCAACACCAAAGAGGTATCGTTCATCATGAAAATCGCACCAAGCAATGCGATATTTCACGAAGTAATGAAAGTTTACGATGTTTTCGAAGTAGAAACCGCCATTTATCGAGGTGTTGTTGATGAATATCGAAATATGTATCGAAAGGTTGGCATTGACATCGAATTTATGCCCAACTACTATAGATTAGATGTAGAGCATCCTTATCTCCTGCTGGAAGATCTAAGTTCAAGGGGATTTAAAAATATGCCACGTCTTGATGGTCTCGACACACAACACACTGAGGCTGCCCTCAAAAAGTTGGCTCAATGGCACGCAGCCTCGGCACATCGCATCGATATCGAAGGACCTTTTAACCCATTTATGTGTCACAGTTTTCTAAACGAATCTTTACGTGACATAATGAAACCCTTATCCGATTCGGTACACAAAGAGTTCCTGGAATGTGCCAAATCATATCGAGGTGTGGAAGAGAGGTGTTACAATGCCTTGCAGAGGAATGTATACGATGAATTGATTCAATCGGCCAAGGAAGAGAAACAGGATTTCTGTGTTCTCAATCATGGTGATTTTTGGTCAAATAATATCATGTTTCAACATGATGATGAGGGTAATATCACCGAAACCTTTTTTGTTGATTTCCAAGGACCCCGATATGGTACACCTGCCCAAGATCTGTACACACTGCTATTGTCTTCAACACAATATGACATAAAGTTGACAAAATTTGATTATTTTGTGTGGTACTATCATCGGTGTTTGGTTGAAAGTCTCCAAACTTTGAATTATCGACCGATGATACCAACACTGAAGGATTTACACATTATGTTACATAAATATGGAATATGGGGTATGATAATATATTGATATTCAATGTCGATTCTAAATATTATTTTCTCCCCTCATTAGGTTACCACGCAGCAATTGGTTCCATGGCCACCGTTCTTTTGGACAGCTGTGAGGAAGCTAAGACAGAAAATTTCTTAGCGGACACTGCTGCAGGAAAGCGTTTTAAAAACCGTCTCTTCACCAATTCCCGTTATCGTCAGCATATCGAAATGGTTTTGCCATGGTTGTATAATCGAGGAGCTATTTAGGGTCAATGAAATAAAAACAAGTTAGAAAGTATCAGACAATTTTGCCGACACATGTGTACCATCAGCCAATGTTCGGTTACTTAAATATATTTTGACTTCCGTTATGATTATTCAAATTGTTAACGCTGTATGGAGTAGACTCTGAAGGAATGGATCGATTTTGTCCATTTCGTATCGGACCTAAATAAATAAATATGATATAGATATGATATAAATATTGGCCAATTACAATTACAAAATCGAACATTTATATCCCATTTTATATAAATTCCATATTCATCTCAGGTATCTGGTCGAAAGAAATATTTAGATATAGCAAGTTGTAAAAAATCGCTGACTTGTTTTGCAATTTATGACAGATAAAAGTATTGTAAATTGTAACCCTTTGTGTGTGAGGTACCAGAAGCGTTTCCCAGATATATATCATCTTCATAAAAGATCTTATGTTAGCAAAAATGTGTGTATGTGTGTGTGTGTGTGAAATTTGAGAGAATTGAATGCCTCCTTCGCTTTCATTGACCGTTTTGTTTATTAAAATCTTGTACCTTATCTGGGGGAGGTACCAGAAGAAATTATCCGTTGTGTTGATAGAAATATTGAGATCGCATCTTCTCAGCAGATCTTGGGTTAGCGGAAATAATGGGAAATGTGAAATATGGAGAGAACCGGATGCTGATCGTTTTGGTTATTTAAAAATTTGACCCTTTGTGGCGGGAAGTACCAGAAGGAATGGTCTGATCTCTACCATCTTTATAAAAGATCTTGTATCGATAAAAATAATGAGATGTTCGGAGTGGGAATGGATTCAGATGTTAATTCCGTTTTTCGAATCTTCATGGATATTCAAAATTTTTGACCTTTTGGGGGGGACGTACCAGAACCGATAGGAAGAAGTGAACCGATATTGCCCGTCTCCGAACTCGATCTAAGAAAGAAAGTGTCAGATAAGGCTAGGTTTTTGGAAATTCATTCTAGAACGGTACGAAAGGTACTAAATTGTACTACATTTGGTACTATTTATTATCTTGTGAACGGTTTGAGCCGAAATTTCGAAGGGAAGTATGTACTGATGTATACGAAAAGTACTAAATTTAGTACAATTTGGATGGAGCTGGAATCCTGAAATTGCAAATCACACATTACTGGTAGAGTGTAGAATTGAAATATAAAGATAGTTTACGAAATTTGTACTAATATACATTTTAGACCCCACAAAATATATATATTCTTGATCAGCATAAAATTCTATGTCGATTTAGCGATGTCCGTCACTCTAGCTTCCGAACGAATTGAAGTAGATTGATAAAATTTTACTCAAATGTATGCTATGTCTGCATGACTTTTGGTATTGAAAATGGGCCATGTAGATCCACGTCTTCGTATAACCCCCATATAACGGTACCCCGCCGATATTTTATATTTTAATGATTTTAGCGACATTATTCACCAGATTTTTTTCAAATTTGGTATTTTATGTTCGGAATGGATACTACAGCCTATGCCAGAAAATTGTCTGTGCCGGTCCACGTCTTCGTAAAGCTCCCATATATCGGTACCTCCCGATATTCGGTATTTTGATGATTATTGCGACATTATTCAACGGAATTGTTTCAAATTTGGTATTTGAAGTTCGTAATGGATACTACAGCCTATACCAGAAAATTGTCTGTGCCTGTCCACGTCTTCGTATAGCTCCCATATAACGGTACCTCCCGATATTCGATGTTTTGATGATTTTAGCTACATTGTTACCGATTTTTTTTAAGTTTCGCATTTGAATATTGCAATGGCTTATGACAAACGCTACCTATGTAGGTCCATGTCGACGTATAGACCCTAATATAACAACTACATTCGGCATTTTTTAAATATTAAGAGAATTTTTAACGGACGATTTAGACTCCTCTTATGAACAAATATTCATTGACAATGGAAGAGATGTGTTCTACTAAGAAATTCCGAAATTATAAGTTACACATTTTCTGTAAGTTTTTCAAAATCAGTGGCGGGAAATGTGTGGCGTTCACTCATTTCTAGATGAGGGCATATTTTATAGTCGAAGAGAGCTGTTTTCTCCCATGCAGTAAAATGTTATTATTTCTCTGATTACAACAAACTTTCGATAGAACTTATGAAAGCTCTCTCTCTCGCTCAGTCTATCTTTATTTTTATCGTTGCAACAAATTTTAGTTTCCGCTGAACATTCATTAAATACGTTTGCTGCGTAGTTTCGCTATTTGCCTGGCACTATTTAATTGATCCAATGAGTAATCAAGAACAAAGTGATCATCAATCTCAAGCGCCAGTCGCCCCAACTCCGCCGCCGTTGCCATCGTGGATAGAACCGTCCGCCTTTGAAACAGTTTTTCGTGAAGTATGTCCGGAGTTTAAACAAATCAAAGATTTCAAGGCAATACCTGCCTTGGGAGCTGGAGAAAATTATGCCACTGTAATGTTGCGTTTGAACGCCGATGTGGAATTGAAGGGTGAGAATTAGGTCATTTGGAAAAATTCTAAATCTCTTATTACAAAATATTGGGTTGGGGTTCAATAAAAAATGATTAAAAATATTAGAAAAAAAACAAAGGAAGTGGGAAATTTTTGATATTCTTATATTCATGGTACACACATATTTTTCAAAAGAAAAAATAGACCAAATTAAAGATGTTTGAAAATAAAAGAAAATACGAAACGTGCGTGAATAGTTAAAATAAATGTTGCCATTACTTGGTAAAGACCTCTTTTGCTTTTTACTCGCTCTCGAAATTTTGCTGAGTAATGCCACATCTCTTTTTAAAAACATTTTTTTTTTTCGATACAACCTAATACCGCTAATTTCAAATTGTTATCACATCGCCATGACTATTGTTAATTATTATCGAAACATAGCCCAACGTTAGTAAATTTATTTCGATTTGTTTATCTCGTACATAGTGCAAGTTGGAGACAATTTGTTGGTGTTTATTGTAGATTAGGATTGGGAAAATTCAAAGAACACAAGTAAAAACCATTAAGTTCGGCCGGACCAAACTTTTAATACCCTTCACCTTTGGATAAAGAAAACATTCTTAAATTATCTGAATTCAAATGTATTTCACTATAAACTAATAATACCAGTAAGACCTTTTGGATAATACCAAATATTGGTGGGTATCGTTATATGTCTGCTATAGGTAAACGTGGACATAAATATTCAATGTTCTGCCACCGGAGCTAAAACCCATTTCGAACTACAAATACCAATTTTTAGACAAATCCGTAAAAAAATGTGGCAAAAATCATCAAAACACCGAATATCGGGAGATACCTTTATACGGGAGTCATACAAAAACGTGGACATACAAGGTGTGATAAAAAACTACAACAAAGTCAAACTCCAAAATTTGTAATTTTTTTTTAACTTTATTGAATGAAAGCAAAATATGTCGGAATAGCATCAAACTTTAGAATAAATTTAGATTGGTTCGAATTGGTCACCTTTGGCACGAATTATGGCCTTTAAACGGACAATGAAAGCGTCACACGCTGCCCATATGTTACTCTGTGGTATTTTGGCCCATTCCTGGCAAAGCGTTTGCTTGAGGTCTGTGACACTTTGATATTTTTTAGTGCCAATCTTGCTTTCCAAAATATGCCAGACACAATAGTCCAACGGATTGGTATCCGGAGCTTTTGGTGGCCATTGTGCGTTGGAAATGAAGAGAGGAACCTCATTTTGTAACCATCCTTGGGTGGCGCAAGGCTTTAATACACTTCCAGAATATTTTCGCGATAATATTCGGCACTTATTCTGATGCCACGGTCGATTAATACGAGCGGAGAGCGACCATTGGCTGTTATGGCGGCCCACTCCATCACCATGGCCGGCGCTTGAGTTCTTGTGGCCAACCGAAGGTTCACATTTTCAGCTGACCTCTTTGGCAAGTAAACACGATCATTTTGTTTGTTTACAAAATGCTGGACAACGAATGTTTTCTCATGGGAGAAAACCAAATTCGACCAAGCGAAGCAACTCTTTAGCTCTTTTGAGTGTATTTCCTTTCTGTTGTGGTGTAAGTTCTTGCACTTTTTGGAATTTCAATGGCTTTATCCCGAGCTCATTTTTCAATATTTGCCGAATGGAATATTGCGATATGTTCAGCTCATTAGCCATTTTTCGGCCACTGCGACGCGGGTTTCGATCAAGTGGCTTCTTTACTTTTCGAACCATTTCGGCTGATATTGCTGTTTTCTTCCGTCCACATCCTTGACGTCGGGCTACGCTACCAGTATCACGGTAACGAACGATGGCACGAGACACAAATGCTTTATTCACATTTAAATGCTGGAGTGCTCTAACGATAGCCACTTGTGGTTTTCCAGCCAAATATAAAGAAATAACACTATCACGCTTAAATTCCATCAGGAATAACTTTTTTTCTGGAAAATTCTCACCAAAATGCTATTGTACGCTTGTACGGGTCTACGACAAATATTTAGGAATGTTACAAAAGGAATGACGAAGTTAATATACCCTTCCTTTCAAGGTGGAGGGTATAAAAGTTCGACGATAACAAGAAACAATAAAACATAATCAACCAAAGCTTAAAAAATATGATTTCAAAACGACTTCTAGGTGATAGAATCCCACACAATGAGTGCAGGCCTTGATGTGGCAGCTAAATTAAAATGTGCCCTAAAATTTCAAAAATTATAATTTAATAAATAAATGATGCATTTACAAACTCGTCAGACAATCGATTTCTTATTTTTCTTACAAAGACATTTGGGCATTCATTTTCAACTGATGTGGGACTCAGAGCTCAGAATTGCTCATTTTTACTCGCTATTGAAACATACTCGCCATAGGGAGTTTAAGAAATAAGAGTGTGTGTCGAAATAGAGCAAACAGGGCTGGAGTTTAATCTAGGAATAAAATTGAGTAGAATAAATTATTTTGTTTGCGGATTTTATGTGTACGTGTGTTTAGTTGGAAACTGGGTTTGATGTAGCTATGGACTGTGATTTGTGAACAAAAGCAATAAATTGATAATATGCTTTGTTGTTATAGATCGGTTAAAATGGTCTTCAAGGATTTGATTGAGAAAATACTCATGCCAACAAATAAAATATAGGTTTGTCAAAAACGAGAGGAAACATCCTCAAGGTCGAGCCGGGGCCCTTTGGAAGAAATCCGTTTCAGGACATTTGGAGTCGATCTAGGGATGTCCGTCCGTCTGGCTGGCTGGTGTATATAACTATACAATAACTGTCGAAGAGTGTATCCGATTTGACCCAAACATGGTACACCTTAATATGCATTACTGTAGAACTGAGATCCAGTTCAGAAAAAACAATATCAGCCCACTTCACCACAAAATGTCAAAATTTTAACATTTCACATTTTTCTCAGTTCCAAGTCAAATACGAAAATGGACAACATCGGTTCACTCCTTGCAAAGGGTCAACATTTTGAAAAATTATATCTCTCGTAAAATGCGAAAAAGCATCCGATTGTCATCAAATTCCACATATCCCAATATTTCAACAAAAACAATATCTGGTGTGTTGATGGAATATATAGGACCACTCATTCTGGTACCTCACCCGCACCTGGCCAAAATTTGGAAGAACCCCAACTCCCATAAAATCCGAAATAAGCATCCGATTTATTCTTAGCTTCACACATTCCAATATTTCCACTAACACAAGATCTGGCGTTAAGATGGAATATATCGGTTCACCCTTTCTGGTACCTTACCCACAAAGGGTTCAACCTTAAAAAAGAGGGTATATTAACTTTGTCATTCCGTTTGTAACATTCCTAAATATTCGTCGTAGACCTCATAAAGTATATATATATATATATATATATATATATATATATATATATATATATATATATGATCAGCACAAAATTTTAAATTGATTTAACGATGTCCGTCTATCTGTCTGTCCGTCCGTCTGTCTGTTGAAATCACGATACAGCCCATATTGTTTGACGTAAACCAGAATTTGGCAGAACAACTTGTATTGTGTCTAGGATGGTTGGTATTGAAAAAGGGACACATCGGTTAACGTTTTGGTAAAGCTCCATATAACGGTACCTCCCGATATTCGGTATGTTGATAGTTTTAGCCACATATTTCCCCCAATTTGTCTAAAAATTGATATTTGTAGTTCGTTATGGGTTCTAGCTCTAGTGGAAGAACATTGTACATATAGGTCCACGTTTTCGTATATCTCCCATATAACGGTACCTCCCGATATTCGGATTCGGTTTTAACCACATTCTTCCACGGATTTGTCTAAAAATTGGTATTTGTAGTTAATTATGGGTTTAAGCTCTGGTGGAGGAACATTGTATATATGGGTCCACGTTTTCGTATAGTCCCCATATAACGGTACCTCCCGATATTTGGCATTTTGATGGTTTTAACAACATTGTTCGAGGTATTTGTAGTTCGTAATGGATTCTACCTCCGGCGGCAGAACATTGAATATCTAGGCCCACGTTTTTCTACAGCGCACATATTACGGTTCCATCGGAAATCTGTCTGATCTTTGTGCGGAAATCTGCCTGATCTATCTCTAATTTTAAGACCACGACCTGCCATATTTTTTTATTATTCCCGACTGCTATAACCACTTTTGTCAAAAGTTATTGAATTGGGAATTTTCAACCTAAACTTTATTAACCCTGTTTTTCAATTTGGTATGATTATTTTTAATATCTTTATTTCCTCTCTTTTCAGATGGTTCATCGAAAAACATATCCTTTATGATGAAAACCGCCCATGACAGTGAAATCTTCCGTCAAATGATGCAAATTCACGATGTGTTCGTAACCGAATCGGAAATCTATCGTGAAGTGATTCCCGAATTTGAGCAAATGTATCGCGAAGTTGGTCTCGAGGTGACATTTGGTGCCAAATCCTATAGTTTGGATGTTCAGAGTCCCTACATTCTATTGGAAGATTTAAGTCCGAGAGGATTTAAAAATGAAAATCGTCTGGAGGGCTTAGATATGGAACACACAAAGGCGGTGCTCAATAAATTGGCCCAATGGCATGCTGCCAGTGCGGTACGTGTTGCCAACAAGGGTCCGTATAAACCCGAACTGTGTATGGGTTTCCTCAAAGAATCTGCCCGCGAAATGATGCGCTCCATGTTCGAGGGTTTGTGGTCCATATTCATTGAGTGTGCCAAGTCATATGAGGGCATTGACGAATATCTCGGTGCAATGATTGCTGCCAAAGATAAGTTTATGGAAGAGTTCCTCCGTCTGGCCGAAGAAGAGAAACGTGATTTCTGTGTCCTAAATCACGGTGATTGTTGGGCAAATAATGTCATGTTCCAACACGATGCCTTTGGCAAAATCAAAGAAACTTATTTGGTAGATTTTCAAACACCCAGATATGGTACACCGGCTCAAGATTTATACTACTTTTTGATATCCTCCACGAAATATGAATTGAAGACAAAACAGTTTGATTATTTTGTGAAATACTATCACGATCGTCTGGTGGAATATTTGAAGCTATTGAATTATTCCAAGAAAATAATAAGTCTGAAGGATTTGCACATCCTGCTGTATAAATACGGAATGTGGGGTAAGTTGTGGAAAGTGAGGAGTATTGAAGTGAATCGAAGTATTTGTAAAATGTGATTTCATTTCATTTCCCTCATGAGGGAAAATATTTGTCCTTCATACGACAACATATTGGTCTCCTTTGAGAAGATCTTCTTCTTTGATGAGAAAATATATTATTCTTCTATGAAAAGGTCTATGAATTTATGAGCAGACCTTATTAATCAATGATAAGTCTTAAAAATTCTATTGGTCTGGAATTTGCCTAACGGAGATATTTAACAAGTAAAAAAACATTAAGTTCGGCCGGGCCAAACTTTTAATACCCTCCACCTTAGGGTAAAGGAAACATTAGAGCCCATTATGACCAACATATACCAACTTTTAGTCTTATTCATGGGAAAATGTGCCAAAAATCATCAAAATACCGAATATCGGGAAATACGGCTATATGGGGCTATACAAAAACGTGGACCTATATATACAGTGTTTCGCCAAAAGAGCTAGAATCCATTAAGACCAACAAATACCAATTTCTAGACAAATCCGCGAAGAAATATGGCAAAAACCGTTATATGGGGGCTACACCAAAACCTGGACCTATAATTACAATGATTCGCCACACGAACTGGGACCCATTATGACCTACAACTACCAATTTTCAGAAAAGTTCGTGAAAAAGTGTGTCAAAAATCATCAAAATACGGAATATCGGGAGGTACCGTTATATGGGGGCTATACCAAATCGTGGACCCGTACATGCAATGTTACGCCACCGGAGCTGGAACCCTTAATGACCAACAAATACCAATTTTTAGACAAATCCATGAAAAAATTTGGCAAAAATAATCAAAATATCGAATTATGGCAGGTACCTTTATATAGGGGCTATACCAAAACGTGGATCTATACATGGAATGCTTTGCCACACGAACTGGCACTCGTTATGACCTACAAATAACAATTTTCAGACAAATCCGAGAAAAAATGTGGCATAAATCATCAAAATACCGAATATCGGGAGGTACCATTATATAGGGACTAGGATCCCAAAACGTGAGCCGATATATTTTCAATACCAACCATCCTAGACACAATACAAATGGCTCTGCTAAATTTTGGCGCTCTACGTAAATTATTGTGGGCTATATCCTGATTTCAAAAGACAGACAGGCAGACGGAAAGACAGACGGACATCGTTAAATCTTTATGGGGTCTGCGACGAATATTTAAGATTGTTACAACGGAATGACAAAGTTAATATACCCTCCTTTCCAAGGTGGAGGGTATAAAAAGGACTTCTATCTTCCATAAGAGGAAATATTTGTACTCTATATGACAAAATACTGGCCTCCTATAAGGAGATCTTCTATAAGAGAGTATATTAGTCTTGTATGAAAAGACCTATCGGAGATGTATTAGAATAGCAAATGGTCTTCCACCGAAAGACCTATTGAGTCGACATCTATGAGAAGATTCATTGATTCCATAATTGACACATCGATTCTCCTATATGAGAAGACCTATTGTTCTCCTATGAGAAGACAAATAAGACTTCTGTGAGAAGAAGACTTATTGGTCTTCTTATTGGTGAGAATAATTATTGGTCTTCCAGAAGAAGGCCTATTGGTCTTATATTAGTCTTCTTTGAGAAATCTATTGGACCTTTTTCGAAAATGTCAATTGGTTTTCTATGAAAGGTTTTATTTGTGTTCTAGGAATGGTCTTCGATGAAAAGAAATGTTGGTCTATAGAAGATATTTGAAATATCCTCGTTCTATTAAAAACCTTGGATTTCTGCACCATACATTATCTCTCAGGTCCTTCTCAACCAAAAACCTCTCCGATGGTCTTCTCAGAACCACGATGGACACATTTTTCCACTTCATCCCTTTTAATCGTAATTAATTTGTTATTATCTTAATTTCCTTTCAGGCTATGCCACCATGTCCGGAGTCATGGCTGCTGTTCTCTTGGATCCCACTGAAGACATTCCGGCCGATAGCTTTTTCGCTGAATCCGATGCTGGCATAAAATTCAAAATGCAAATGTATTCTGGATCTCGGTATCGTAAACACTGTGAAATGTTATTGCCCTGGCTATATAATCGCGGTGCCTTTTAAGATTTTTTTGCGCAATGGCAGCGTGTCAGTATTGAGTGTTTCCATTATAAAGCAGATAATAAATATAAATTATTTTAATAATTTTTATTTTAGTTGTTATTTGTGTTCTTTTTTTGTAAGATGTGCATACATTCTAATCTAATGTTTTGCAGAAAATGAGTATCAATTGTTACCCCCTCCCAATTTTCTTGTACATACATACATGTATGCATATTTATATTAATTATTGTGAAGCATTCCAAAGCTATTGGATAATAAAAATATATGAATGTTTGATGTAATGAATATAAAATATGTGTTTATATTTCGCCTTTGTCGGATTGTTTGTTTGGCAGTTTTAAGTGGATTGTGAATATTTTGTTAAAGAATACAATTGTTTGGTCCATAATTTATTTAAATTGTTATTAGTTTACTAACAATTAATTTGAATTTCCTTTGGAATTGTTAATAATTTTTTAGAGATGCATATTTTTATTTAGAAATTAATGTTGAGCGAGAATGAATATGATAATTCTAGCTCACCACCACCATGCTATAAATGAATGAAATTAATAGACAAATGTTTTTTTTCAAAGATCAAGCATCAAATTGAATGGGTTCACAGGAAAACATTGGGAGGTGTATGGGATATTCCCATAAAAAGATAATATAGACAAACTGCTTTCATATTACTGATAGGTTTAAAATAAACAAGTAAGAAGGCAGTAAGTTCGGCCGGGCAGAACTTTGAATACCATCCACCATTTGGAGCGAATTTAAAAATTTTCAAAAAATTCGCCAAAAATTCTGTTAAAATCTTAGAAATACCCAATATATAGCCGTTATTCGTGAATAATGTAGCTAAAATCATGAAAATACCAAATATATGCAGGTACTGATATATGGGGCTTGTACGAAGGCCTGGACCTGCATAGAGAATCTTCTGTCATAGACTGTAGTTCCAAACTCTAAATACGAAATTTGAAACAACTCCGTTGAATAATGTCGCTAAAATTATCAAAATACCGAATATTGGGATGTACCATAGCTATAGGTATCCCATAATATGGCTATACGAAGACGTGGGCCTGCATGAGAAATGTTGCTAAAATCATCAAAATACTGAATATAGGGGGGTACCGTTGTAATGGTGAATAAACGATGTCATGGACCTATATAGACAATAAACTTCCAGGGAATGAAGTACTCAGAAGGAAATCCTTTTGTGGATTTTCAGACAACTTTATTGAAAAATGTGGCTACATTAATCGAAATACCGAACATCGGGGGTACTGTTGTAAGGGGTTATACGATATCGTGGACTTACATGGATAATTCTCTTCCGAGGTATAAAGTACCCACAAGGAACTCCTTGTGTGGATTTTCAGACAATTCCATTGAAAAAAGTGGGTAAAATCATCAAAATACTGAATATCGGGGGGTACCGTTATATGGGGGCTATACGATATCGTGGACTTATATAGAAAATTCTCTCTCAGGGGGTGAAGTACAAGGGACTCCTTGTGTATAATTTCAGACAATTCCATTGAAAAATGTGGCTAAAATAATAAAAATATCGAATATCGGGGGCGTACCGTTATATGGGGGCTATACGATATAGCTGACCGAACTTGACCTGCCTGCAGACAAAAGACAAATCTGTGCAAAATGTTAGCTTCATATCTTAATTCGTTTTGACTCTAGCGTGATTACAACAGACGGACGGACGGACGGAAGGACGGACATGACTAAATCATCTTAGAATTTTACGCTGATCATTATTATTTTGATGAGTTACAAATGGAATGATGCACTTAATATACCCTCCATACTATGTATGGTAGAGGGTATAAAAATTATCAAATTGTGCATTTTGAGTACTTAACAAGTAAAAAAGCAGTAAGTTCGGCCGGGCCGAACTTTGAATACCCTCCACCATTTGGAACGAATTAGAAAATTTTCAAAAAATAAAATCCATTAAAAACTCTGTTAAAATCTTTAAAATATCTAATATCGGAAGGATGGGATGTATGGGAGGATATACGATCTTGTGGACTTATATAGACAATTACCTTTCAGGAGTGCTCACAAAGAACTCCTTGTGTGGATTTTCGTACAATACCATAGGAAAATATGGCAAAAATCATCAATACACCGAATATCAGGGGGTACCGTTATATGGAGGATATCCGATATCGTTAACCTATATATGTCAGGGAGTAAACTGCTCACAAAGAACCTCTTGTGTACAATTTCAGACAATTCCGTTTAAAAATGTAACTAAAATCATCAAAATACCGAATATCGGGGGTACCGTTATATAGGGGGCTAACGATATCGTAGACCTATATAGATAATTCTCTTCCAAGGGATAAAGTACTTCAGTCAAATCCATTGAAAAATGTGACTGAAACCATCAATATACCGAATATTGGGGGTACCGTTATATAGGGGCTATACGATATCGTGGACCTATATCGATAATTCTCTTCCAAGGGATAATTTACCCACAAGGAACTCCTTGTGTGGATTATCAAACGATTCCGTTGAAAAATGTGGCTAAAATCATCAAAATACCGAATATCGGGGGTACCGTTATATGGGGGCTATATGATATCGTGGACTTATATAGAAAATTATCTTCCAAGGGATAATTTTCCCACAAGGAACTCCTTGTTGGATTATCAGACAATTCCGTTAAAAAAATGTGGTTAAAATCATCAAAATACCGAATATCGGGGTTACCGTTATATGGGGGCTATACGATATCGTGGACCTATATAGATAATTCTCTTCCGAGGTATAAAGTACCCACAAGGAACTGTGTGGATTTTCAGACCATTCCATTAGAAAATGTGGCTAAAATCTTCAAAATACCGAATATCGGGGGGTACCGTAATATGGGGGGCTATTCGATATCGTGGACCGATATAGCCCATCTTCGAACTTGACCTGCCTGCAGACAAAAGAGGGATCTGTACAAAATTTTAGCTTCCTATCTTAATTCGTTTAGACTGTAGCGTTATTACAACAGACGGACATGGCTAAATCGACTTAGAATTTTACGCTGATCAAGAATATATATACTTTGTTGGGTCTAAAATGATTATTTCGATGAGTTACAAACGGAATGACGAACTTAATACACCCTCCACACTATGTTTGGTGAAGGGCACAAAAATCCTAATACGAACTGTTGGAGTTAATATAACACTTTAAGATTGATTTTTCGCTGACGAAGTAGCGAGCACTTGCTAGTTGTATATATATTTTATATATTATATATCCTTGAGAAAAAATTGAAAAGTTGAATGTATGTTGAATGTATGTATATTCAATTGTTTTCTTTTGCGCCATTCATTAATTTGATATTAATGGAAAATACAATACTGGCAGTTAGCGACAAGTTAGTATTAATACTTTGGTCGATACGATAACATTATGTGTCGCCTGTTTTAAACAAAAGATACTAAATGATAAGTATGGGCAGAAGAGGGCACTATTGAATTATATTATTTTTTATGAATTTAGGGGATTTAATGATTTTGAAACAAGAATTTGATCGAAAAAAATCAACTTAAAATGTCGATAATCTTCTCTAAATATATAATATATATATTTATAGCTAAATATTGAATGAGGCCCCTATTCGTCTCATCAAATGGAACACTACTTGTTGATTGTAGCTTAATTTTGTCAACCAGATAATCTGTCACCTCCAAATTATTTGCAACCTCCTCAGACTTCTATAATATAATCTATTAAAGATGTCTTATTGGCAATTTATAGTTTCCTACGAACTATTTCCGATAGGCGACACACCCCTTAAATGTAGTTTGATCTCTCTATGTGTTAGGTTTTATGACAAGTGCTGAAATTTAAATTGATTAAACGTCACAAAAAACAATTGAATACATTTTCTAATCAACTGAAAAAAGCAACAACAAAACACATGACCAGAGCTATCTGTGTACGCACCGTGACTGCCAGCACTGTGACATGTAGCAATTTTTTATGGATTTCATTGGCCATAATTTGCAAATGAATAATGACTTGACAAAAATAAATAAAATTCATTGGAACGAATATCTGAGCTATGAATTCTATGAAAATTTGTAAACGATAGTAGTTTTTTTTTCTTCTAACAGATATTCGTTATGGAAATTTGTACATACCGACAGAATGTGTCGATGAGTGGCAGACAGACAGACTTACATATCACGTGAGTATGAAATTTGTATGAATATGCTTACGTATGTTTTTGTGTTTGAAGGCATGTAAATATGTTTTTTATGTAAATATATAATTGTGAACAGAAAACTTGTTATGGGATTCACCGAGAATTCACTTATGCCGGCGTTAATTTTTTGCTGCCTGCCTAATGACGTTTCTGTTTGAGATTCCATAACATTATTTTGATTTAAAATACATAAATATTCAAAATACGTGTATAAATATTTATGTCCATATTTTGTTGTTGCAAAATGGTCAGGCTTATAAATAAAAAAATTGAAAACGATGATTGACTAATTGAGAAAATGTTTGAAACAAAATTTTGAATTGAAGTTTTGATTACACTGAGCAACACAAAAGATTATCCGCGATTTCAATGTTTACCTCACAAAGTAGCCTAAATAGAGGCAGCAAGGTCGTTCAGAGCCTCCCAATTAAAAAGAAGTATAAAGGGAGATTTTGGTTTGGTTTGGGAACGTGTTAAATTAACAATAAACAAGTAAAGTGGTATCAGTCGGTTTGGCCGACAGAGTTATACCCCCAGCCTTGAGTTATGATTATTCAAAATGTTGACAATAAAAGGCAAATCGGACGAAGATATATATGGGAGCTATATCTAAATCTTTACCGATTACCTCCAATTTCAATAGGGTTCGTCCTTGGCCAAACAAATGTTGTTTGGAAAATTTCGTCTCAATCGGATAATAAATGGGACCTGCATTTTGTTCACAAGAATACATGGACAGACGGACGGACGGACGGACGGACTGACATGCATAAATCAACTCAGAAAGTTATTCTATGCAGATCATCAAAAGGAACTATGGGTCTATCTCGTTTCCTTTTGCCTGTTACAAACAAATGAACAAAGATATAATACCCTGACCACCTTGTGATGTAGGGTATAAATACTGGTATGTGCAATATTTGAAGGAAATCGAACATTTATATCCAATTTTATTCGAAATCATAAATTTCGATAAATCTCATATTCACATGAGATTTCTGGTAAAGTGGAATATTTAGCTATAGCAAGTTGTAAAGAATCGCCGACTTGTTATAACAGCTTTAAGTATTGGAAGTTGTGTCCCTTTGTGTGTAAGGAACCAGAATGGTTCCTCCTATCGCAAGGTCTGTTGTGAAGGTGACATATTAGGCACATATACGTCTCCTTCTCCTTGCGTTAGCAAAAATATTTGGATGTGTGAAATTTGAAGAGAGTTTGATGATTATTTCACCATCTTTGAGTCTTTTGTTTTTAAAAATCTTGAACCCTATGTAGGGGATGTAGCAGAAGAAATGGTCCGATCTATACCATCTTTACACCAGACCTAAGGTTACTAAAAATATTGTGATGTGTGTAGTTTGAAGAGAACCGGATGCTTATTTTGAATTTTAAGATCGTTTTGGTTATTCAAAACTCCGACCCCTTGTTGGGGAGTTACCAGAAGGAATGGTCTGATCTCTACCGCCTTTATAACAGATCCTGTATTGATAGAAATATTCAGATGTGCCAAGTATAAATGGAATCGGATTAATTTCCCATTTTACGAGCTTAATGAATATTCAAAATTTCGACCTTTTGTGGGGCAGGTACAAGAAGGAGCGGACCGATATATTTCATCTTAACACCAGATCTTGGGTTAATAAAACTATTGGTTTGTATGAATTTTGAAGACAATCGGACTCTTACATCACATTTTATAAGAGTTGTAATTATTCAAAATGTTGACTTTTTTGTGTGGGAGTTACTTGATGGAGTGGATCGATATTGTCCATTTTCGCAGCTGACCCAGCGCTGACGCAAATATTTGGATGTGCAAAGTTGGAGCAAAATCGAATTATCCTTTCTCTTTCTGTGCAAAAAAATATATTTTTTTGAAAATTTCGACCTTTTGTTGGGGATGTACTAGAAGGAGTGCACCGATATTGCCCATCTCCGAACTCGATCTAAGGTTGACAAAAATATTACGATGTACCACGTTTGGACCAAATCGAATACTCCCTTCGAGAGTTATCGTGCGCACTAACCAGACAGACGGGCGGACATAACTAGATCGACTCCAGATGTTCTGAAACGGATTTGGTCCAAAGAGACCTAGGGTCTAAAACCGTTATTTCGACTAGGCACGTTTTGTCCGTATCAAATGATATATACCCTGTCTAGCCATATGGCTGAGGGTATAAAAAGTTAACTTAAAATTACACTCTACACCACACTGTTGTCAGGGTAATAAGTCATTGGATTTCGGCACATACAAACGAATTCAGTCCAGAATAAAGTGTAAAAATTTGGTAAAAGTTCTGATATACCTACCATAAATATATTTCATCCGATTGGTTTTAAAATCCCTCACATTCGTAATATGACATTTGGTACCAGTTATCTTATAGAGCTCGGAAATACCTAGCGCTCCCATCCGTTATATGAAGGTTAATATTAAGGATGTGCAATGAATGGCCCAATATAGCCCAATTCCGGTACTTACATATGACTTATCTAAGTATTACGATGTGCCAATTTTGAACTATAGATGGGATAATATTGTCCCCAGTCTCATATAAATATTACAATTAGCCAAGTTTGAACAAAATCGGATATTCCCAACACCCAATTCGAGATTTAAATTTGTTCACAAAAATTTAAACGTAGATCGATATTGTTCATCTCCGTACGGGATATGAAAAAATGTTATTATTACAGACAGACAGATGCATTGGGGACAGACTATATATGACTCCAAATGTCCTTATACGAATTTCATTCAAAAAGACCTCTGTTACTACAATGAGGCACATTTTACCCATATCCAATGATATTTACAATCCGTGTTTATATAGGCATAATATGTAGAGTATTTATGTAAACCTCTATAAAAAACCACAACCACCATGCATCCATAGTGTAAAAGCGACAATTTTTGTCGAGTCCCACATGTTGTTTCGTTTCTAAAGGTACAACAATTAATAAATCCAATCTGGTTTTGTTATGCCTAATATTAAGAAAAATAAACAAAAAAAAACAAATAATAGATAATAGAAGACTGTTTTCATCTAAAAACAATTAAGAGAACTGGTAGCTATGCGTGTTTGACAAAACATTCGAAATTCTCTTAGGCAATTTAAAAGCTTCAATAGAAAACTAGCCGGCAAGTGGGCTTCAGATATTCTGGATGTCACTCACTGATCATCTGTGATCGTCGCAACCCCCTGCTCAGTAGTTGAATAAACTTTCTAAGTTCAAGTATGACTGGTGACGCGAACACTTCTATACCAAAATGGATCAATGCGAATCTTTTCGAAAGTGTGCTCAAGAAAACCATTAAAGGGTATCGGTGTATACGGAAATTCGAGGTTTATCCAGGATCCGGAACGGGCGAAAATTATGCTACGGTTATGCTGAAAGTGCAAATTGAAGCGGAATTAGATGGTAAGATAAAAAGTAAACAAGTCGTGAGCCTCATATGTAAAGAAAAAGAGAGAGAGAGAGAGTTTTAAATTGCTTGTTGTTGTTTTAGAGAAAAATAATAACCTGAAAGTCTGACAAATTTTTATAATTTCCAGTATTTAGTAATAATAGTTTGATATTAAAAAACTGGTTTAAAAAGTAAATAATTTTGTATGAAAATATTATTTTGTATACATTCATAAACAATTAAATCTCAAGTACTTATCGTTACTGGTTGGGAACATGTTTTTTTTTTTTCAATAAAATAATTGTCATAGATGGTGTTAAGAAGAGAGTGATTCAGCGAGTAAACCGCACGCCAAAGATAAGCGAAAGAGTAAATATTGGTCACTATTTAAATTAGAAATGTTCTAACTCCTAGAACAGCGGTGCTCATGAAGAAATATCTCTTTTCAGTCAAATTTCTCTTTGTTTATTTAAATCAAGAACAGAACAGTGTTAAGTCATTATTTATACAAATATTTTTTATCCATTTGCTTTATAAATTATTTTGGCAAACATTCGTATTTAAAAACAATTAAATAGAACCGTAAAATATAAAGGAAAACAGAATTTTAATTTTCTCTTAAATTATCTCTTTTTTCTGTTCATGTTCTAGAACACGGTTTTGAGCACCACTGCTCCTAGAACAAAAGAACTTCAGTTGGCATTTAATTTTCTTTTGTTTGAACCGAACATTATTTTATTTATTATATCCTACAGCGCTACAAAGACCTAGAAATGCAGACTAGACAAAATATATAAATCCTCCTCCTATGAAAGGGACATATTAATAAAGTAAACAAGCAGCTACATTCCCAATATCAATCCAAATATTTTTATCAGTTCTAGGTCACGTGCGAAAAGGGTTAATATTCATCAAGTACCTCTCTCCACAAAGGGTAAAATTGTTAAATAATCATTCTGATACGCAAAATCAGCATCCGATTACTTTCAAGCTCGGCACTTATCAACATTGCTATCAACACAAGATCTAATGTGAAAAAGGGGTATATCGCTTCACTCCTCCTGGTGGCACGCCCACAAAGTGGGCCAATTTTTGAATAACAGAACGAAAGAATAAAATGCGAAATAAGCATCCGATTCGATTTAATTTTCACATGTCCAAATATTTTTTAATACCTGGTGTAGTGATGAAAGATATCTGCCCACCTCTTCCGGTACCTTCCCCACAACGGGACACTTTTTGGAATATTTATATTTCTCATAAGTTAGGTGTAGGTTAGTGTAGGTCCACGTCTTCGTATAACCCCCATATAACGATAACTCCCGATATTCGGTATTTTGATGATTTTGGCGACATTATTCACCGGAATTGTTTCAAATGTGGTGTTTGAAGTTTGTAATGGATACTACAGCCTAAGACAGAAAATTGCCTGTGCTGATCCACGTTTTCGTATAGCCCCCATATAACGGTACCTCCTGATATTTAGTATTTTGATGATTTTAGCTACATTATTCACCGATTTTGAGTTTCGCATTTGAATATTGTAATGGCTTATGACAAGAGTTACGTATGCAGGTCCATGTCGTCGTATAGACCCTAATATAACAGCTACATTTGGTATTTTTAAGATTTTAACAGAAACAATAAAATCTGTTAACATTGTTTTTGAGAATTGCCAAATTCGTTCCAAATGGTGGAGGGTATTCAAAGTCCAGCCAGGCCGATCTTGCAGCTTTTTTACTTGTTTAACTCTACTTTCATAACCTGCTTGATTTTGCCCGTAATTATTGAAAAAAATTGCATTTTATCGCACAGTGTAATAATACGAAGATTATTTTGGTCGAACTCTCAAGCACCAGTAACCATGGGGGTATTTTTAGTTCTTAAAAAAAAAGTATGTTATTATCGGAATACGGACGTGAGTTGCTGCATGTCTCTAAAGAATGGGATGATATTAAGCTTCACCTGAGCCTCTCCGTCAATCATTTATTTTTCCCAAAAAATTATACTTTTCCTTATAAGAGTGTGTCACACAAGTTCTTTGCATTGTCCGTAATATACGTAGTGGATGGTCATACTACATACATTTCTCCTATTTGCCTCCTGAGGATGCGTGCGACAAATTCCCTTATATGATTGAGCCCGAAAAACCCTCCTTTTTCAATGATCCCTCCAATTTCTATTCCAGATGGCTCCGCACAATCAACGTCTTTCATGCTGAAAACGAATCACGAAAATGAGGAGATACGAAAAATACTTAATGCCGACAATATGTTTGCTTTGGAAAAAAGTGTATATGAACAAATTGTACCTGCTTTCGAGAAGCTATATGCCGATGCTGGAATTATAATTAAATTTGGTCCAACATGCTACGACTTGCCCACAGAAGAATCGCACATACTTTTGGAAAATCTAACACCCAAAGGATTTAAAAACATCAATCGACTGGAAGGTCTCAATAAACAGCACATGGAAATGGTTCTACGTAGATTGGCCATGTGGCATGCCGCATCGGCGGTATATGCCCAAGAAAATGGTGACTACGATGATAAATATCGTTACGGGTTTTTTCGTGAAGAAGCTAAAGCAATGATCGAGTCGATGCATAATAGTTTGCATTCTCTGCTGATGAGTTGTCTTCACAAGTATTCGAATAGTGAAATATATGCCGATGAGTTGGTGAGTCAATTGAAATAAATGTAATTTTTAAAGGTCCCATGAGACCATAATTTAGAAACCAATTTTAAGAAAATGACCAACTATATGTGTTTAAAAATGTAGAGCCCAGAAAGTGATTCTAGGGGCCGATCAGAGCATCCTGGTTTACAGATCAGCATTCGTGTATATTAAAAGAATATAATATTGTGAAATTTTTCCAACCCCCTACAGAGCTATAAAAAAAGCCTCAACAGAGCTAGAATCGTGATTTGTTTGTTTTTTTAAAGTCTCATAAGAGCTATATTCATGATTTTAAGAAATAGCTATCTTCGAGGATTTTTAAAAGATATATTTTTAAAGACAGTTTTAAAAGCCCTAACGTAGCTGTACTCCTGAGTTTTTGGCTCCAACCCAAAGATTTTTAAGAAATATTTAGATCGCCCCTACAGAACTATAATCGTGTATTTTTACGACATATATTTTTATAGACTCAGCAGAGTCTATATTAGAATATATGGAATATCAAGAACAATAGCGGAACGACGTGTTTTCTCACTTTGAAACTAGGGTAAGCCAGGGTCGTCATTTATACGAAACACATTATACGGCGATCGGATTCAAAACAGCAGACAAATAAAAAATGGTGAGTCCTCCATTCGTAACGTTGTTGTCGATGTTGGCAATGATGTTAAATGGACGGCAGATTTTTAATAAAGAGAACGTTGAATATGCACACTCCGCAAATTTTAGAATAAAGGGAACGGGAAGGGAAGAAACCTTATTCAACTCTAATGACGTCACAGAATACTCTTAGAAGTAAAGGGAATGTTGGAAACCCCAGAGACCGAACACTCTCCACAAATGTTAAACCAAAGGAACGTTAGAAATCCCACTCAACTTCATCGAAAGACTAGCTACAGCCACTATTGCCAAGGGAATGTTATAAACCCCACTTAGCTCTTCACTATATGTACTACACAATATTTACAGAAGATGCTACACCCGCTACTGCGGTACGTAATAAACGGGGACATTTATTGTTAGTAAACCACCAGGTTACCTATAATTGGCCCGAGTTAACCTTTGCACATCTGTTTCGTGTACGAGCCGAATGCAACTCTCTCTTGGAAACTTGGAGCGCTATCCATTAGAAATTAACCTATTCGGCTAAAGTCGATGGACTCATATGCTATCCTATCGACAGGTAAATTACTGGTTTCATCTTCTCACTGGAACCAAACAGGACATAACAATTCGACTCTCCGTTTGGGTGGAAAATAACCCAAACCCAATAGGAAAGGCACATGAAATTAGTTGTACTATTATCTGTTTGAAAATAAGTAATCTTACTTTTAGCAGTAACCCTTCAGTAACGTAGGTAGGCCCCTATAAACTTGATTTTTCTAAGTATAAAGTCAATAGGCTTAACAAATCGAAAGTTGCTATATCATGCCCATATATATTTTGCCCTCCAATTTCAAGATGAGGCGAATATTGCCTGGAGCTATGTGGAGCTATTACCCTTGAAGGTGATCTGGTCTCATTTGTCTATGTCTCATTTGTCACATTTTTCAAGTATGGCCTCGAACAATTTTGAATTTGCCATTTTCTTATATTAAAATGTACAACATGCTTTAATATAGACACACCCTAAAAGTTTAAAAAAGGCTAAAACAAAATGAACTTAAAATCTTAAATCTACATAAACTTAAACTATATACAAACTATATTATTAGTGAGCTCTATTGTAGACATGCTCAGAGTCGGCGTCAAATTTGTGATACTTACGTAGAGCATTCTTCCTTCTTTGTTTTTATTTTTATAGGGGACTTCCTCTTGGTATTCCAGGTATTGTTTTCATTCCTAAACATGATGCCAAGATACTTCTTCCCATATCATTATTCTTTCCATTTGAGCCGAAGAATGAATAGATTGTTATGAACCGTTTAACATCTGGCCATAGTCCTCCTCGCACCCGGAATAGCCTAATTTCTTTAGCTTTTGACAGCACATAGTCCACGTGACTGCAACTATCGAATATTTCGTAGTCTCTATTTGTTGATGTTGTTATGGATCGTATTTATGTATGCGTTAAATCTTCTTTTCACTGTGCTTCCGGCGCGATCTCATAGCACCAAAAAATGTCATCGGCGTATATAATCAGTAAACCTTCTTCAGGCGGTCCAAGAATGTCGCTAACAAATATGTTGAACAAGACCTGTCCAAGCAGCGACCCCTGCTGAACACCCGCTTTTAACAGTCGTTGATTAGACAGTTTGTCAACAACTCAAACCCGAACTGTCCAGTCCTGGAGGAAACATGCATTTGGCATACAACGTCACTTTGCGATACAGTATCAAAGGCTTTGGCGAAGTCCACAACAATTGTTATTCCCATTTTGGACTTAAAACCATCCGTGACGTATATGGTAAAGGCTCCTAGTTCATGAATAGTAGAGTGTTTTGCTCTATATTCGAAATGACATTCCTTTAATATCCTCCTCTCTTCGGTGATCCCGTTGATTTGGCGCAGTAGGAAATGTTCAAACAGCTTTCCAAAGGGCGATAACAGAAAAAATCCGTCTATAGCTCCCCCTCAGCGTGGCATCTACTCTTAGCTTCGAAATTGGTACCATTGATGCCCCCTTCAGGCTATTGGGAATAGTTGTTAAATAATATTGCGCGGAAAATGACGATGCCTTTACCAGACTTCTATACAGCAATGCCGGGGACCTTGCCGATGCAACATGTCTCATCCGGTCTCCTTCTTATTATAGTGGATCCGACCATGTCTGGATCAACAAATCCCATTTGCTTTGAGCGAACGTGATTTTCACTGCTGTGTTGACCTTGTCTAGTATTTCTTCGAACTGATGCATATCCTGTATATTGCCTTCCAGAATCTCATCTTCTTGTGTGTTATCCGAGGTAATCCCTCCATCACTGTTTATAGTTTATTTTATAGGCAGACGGAATGATAGACCAGCGGCCCTCTTGAACTTCCCATATGTTTTCGAATTCACCTCAATGTTCTCCAAGTAGCCCTTGAAGCTATCTTTTTTGTAAATAGTAGTCAATTGTTTGATTATTATGCTTAGGTTCATTATAGATTAAATGATCAAGATCTTCTATGCGTCAAACAACTCTAAGATACCTCCTTTTTATACTATGCTGTGCATTCCGAAGCCGTATATTTTCTTTAGACGGAGTAATTTAATTTAAGTCAGCTATTCGCCGATAGGTGAATTCGATTGTAGTTTTTGATGTTGTTATTACTCATTATCACTAGGGGGCAGTCCGTTATATTCAAGTACTGTAGTACCTCACCTTCACCATTTTATAAATAATATATGCATCTTTATAAAATGTTATTTTGTAGCCAAAAAAATCCTCGAATTTTGCTCATTTCATTATAATTATATTTATATATTTCACTGTCCCAGCAGATTTTAATTATTTTAATATCTAATCTCTTTTCTAACACCTAACACCTATTCTCTTTTCTCCGTAGTTTTCAATTGAATTTGATATTTTACTAATGTTTTGTCGGCTTTCTCTCTCTCAGGATGCTTTTCAGCCGAAATATCTCGAAGATCTATATCGCACCATTGAAATCGATCCCAACGAGTTTAATGTCTTAAATCATGGTGATTGTTGGTCAAATAATATTATGTTCCAATACAACAATGAGGGTAATATTCAGGAAACCTATTTGATAGATTATCAACTGCCCAAATATGGCAGTCCTGCTCTGGATTTATACTACTTCATTTTATCATCCGCCCACTATGATGTAAAATTAAGTGAATTTGATTATTTCATAAAATTATATCATGATATACTCTATGAAAATCTAAAATTATTGAAATATCGGAAGAAACTGCCAACACTGAGAGATATTCATGCCATACTCATCCGCCATGGCGTCTGGGGTGTTTTTACGGCAAAGGGGATTATGGCCGCTGTACTTGTGGATCCCATTAAAGATGCCAACTTTGAGTATTTCTTTGGTGACGGCGAAAAGGCTGTGGCTTTTAAAATGGCCATGTATTCCAACGACCGGTATCGCAAACATATGGAAGCTGTAATGCCATGGCTTAAATATCGTGGAGCATTTGACCTTAGTTAGTAATTGTGTTTCCATAAAAGTCTTAATTTTTGTACTTTTTATGAAAAAATGAATAAACTAAGTTAAAAAAAAAAAAAAACAAAGACCAGTGGCAATGAAATATTTATCTCCTTAGTTTTTTATTAGAGAAGGTTTAATCTTTGATGGAGAAAAATGTTATTCGTCGAAAGCTATGTCCATCCCCTTTGCCTGGAGGGTACGCTCGAAGGAAGTATTCGATTTGGTCCAAACTTCCTATTAAAGTAGATCTATATTTAATAGGACAATATTGGTTCACTCTTTCTGACGTTTCCGACACAAATTGTCAGTTAATGGTATATCTCATAGAAAGAGAAGGCAATATACGACTTTGTAAAATTTCTACACATCGAAATATTTATATCAGACCTTACCCGTAATGGCTCAATAATCTGAAAAATCACAAGTCACCTAAAATGTGATATGACTGTCCGATTTTCTTCAAATTTCGCACAATCCAATATCTTTACAAACCTCTCGTCCTGGTCACTGCTCACAAACAGTCACTTTTGTAAAACTCCGAACAGATTCCGTGATTTCGATTTTCACTCGAACAATATTTGTACTTTGAAGAAATTTTTGTAAAAGTTTTAAGCAAAAACGCAGGTGAGAAAGTGCTTGGGCACCTATTTCGATTTCAAACTGAAATTACTCCATGGAAAGTTTACGCGATCTCCTCAACTGTCGCTGGATGTAAAACTTCTTATCAACAGAAAAAATTATCCGGCCCATAATAACTTACTCCCTTGCCATTTGACCTGATACATCTTCGGCTCAACGGGAAAAAAGGATCTTGGCATTGTGTTTAGGAATGAGGCCAACACTTGATGAGAATGGAATATACTGACGACCGTCCAAGAGCAACATCTTTAACTCCAAAGATCTCAGCCGGATAGACATCATGATGATGAATAGGAAAGTGGAACAATTCCTGGACTACCAGGAAATCTCCACCACACAAAGAAGGAAGCATTTGCTACCCGCAGCTCTACTAAAATTACGCGACGAAGGAGGGCACGCCGACTCTGGGCCTGTGTACAACACAGATCAATAATAATGTACAGTGTGAGATAAAAAACTGCAACAAAGTCAAACGCCATAATTTTTTAATTTTTTTTTTTTTTTTAATTTTATTGAATGAAAGCAAAACATGTCGGAAATAGCATCAAATTTTAGAATAAATTTAGATTTATTCGAATTTGTCACCTTTGGCACGAAACACACGCTGTCCGAATGTTGCTCTGCGGTATTTTGGCCCATTCCCGGCGAAGCGCTTGTTTGAGGTGATCGACACTTTGGTATTTTTTTAGTGCCAACCCTGTTTCCAAAATACTCCAGACACAATAGTCAAACGGATTGGTATCCGGAGATTTTGGTGGACATTGTGCGATAGAAATGAAGCGAGGATCATTTGCAATCATCCTCAGGTGGCGCGTGCTGAGTGCAATGGTGCTGAGTCCTGTTGAAATGTCCAAGGTCTGCGGCCAAAATGTTTGCGTGCCCAAGGCTTCAATACACACTCCAGCATATTTTCACGATAACGTTTGGCATTTATTCTGATGCCATGGTCGATTAATACGAGCAGAGAGCGACCATCGGCTGTTATGGCAGCTCACACCATCACCATGGCCGGCGCTTGAGTTCTGGTGCCCATCCGAAGGTGCACATTTTCAGCTTGCAAGCAGCTAGACAATGAATGTTTTCTCATCGGAGAGAAACAAATTCGGCAGTTCACCACTCTCGGCCAGCGAAGCAACTCTTTATAACTTTTGAGTTTATTTTCTTTCTGCTGCGGTGTAAGTTCTTGCACTTTTTTGAATTTCAATGGTTTTACCCCGAGCTCATTTTTCAATATTTGCCGAATGAGATATTGCCATGTGTTAAACTCACAAGCCATTTTTCGGCCACTGCGACGAGGGTTTCGAACCATTACTGCTGATGTTGCTGTTTTCTGCCGACTTCCTTGACGTCAAGCTACGCTATCAATATCACGGAAACCAGTGATGGTACGAGACACAAAAGAGTTATTCACATTTAAATGCTGGAGTTCTCTAACGATAGCTACTTGTGGTTTTCAAATATTAAAAAATCAGACTATCATGCTTAAATTCCATCACCAATAACTTTTTTTATTTTCTCACGAAATGCTTTTGTACGCTTGTGAACAATATAAGGAACTACCACTGGAATAATTTTAACGGCTGTCGGACGAGCGGCTTAGAAATGATAGCAGTCTGAAGATGGTTGCTGTTTTTTCATCTCATCCTGTATACAGAGCGGTACCGCCCACTTATAGCATTTTAAAGAATTCAACTGTATTCAAAAACCGATTTCACTTGCATTTGCAACTTTACTTGGAACTCTTTTGAATGTTGAAATCGGGTAATTTAATTTTTATAACTTTTTATTTTTTCTCATGGCGGAGGAGATTAGGCCGAGGAAATTTAACTCTGTTCATACTTGTCCCGTGTGTTAAGATCAATTTAATTGTTTTTTTTCAAAATTATCAAACATCCCAAAAATTATGTGTGTATCCAAAAATATCTATTTAAAAACTCCAATTAAAATAATCAAATTTTGAAAATTTCTACCGTCATTAAGAACACATCAAGAGAAACTACAGCACGGTTATGTGTGAATGTGTGTGTGCGTCGCTGCTCATTAATAATTCTCTCCCGAAAATTCAAAGCTCAAACGAAAGCACAGCGAGCAACCTGTCGACACAACATAGCTGCTACTGAGTATCGCCGTGATCATCAGAAGCTCAGCTAGCCAGCCAGTCAGTAGTTAAATAAACTTTGTTACGTTAAGTATAGTTTTGAAAATGGCGGGTCACGCAAGCGGCAGTGCTACAGATACTATTCCGAAATGGATCAAAGCAAACCTTTTCGAAGATGTACTAAAGAAAACCGTAAAAGGTTTCAAAAACATTAAAAAGTTCGAAGTCAAACCAGCTGCGGGAGCTGGAGAAAATTATGCCACGGTTATGTTAAGAATAGAAATCGAATCGGAATTAGATGGTAAGGCCACAGACAAGTGAAAAAAGAGTGAATCAAAAATTTCAATTTAAAAGTTTTCCAAAATAAAAACGACGCTTAATGAAAACTAACAATAGAAAGTGTCATGAATTAGCATTTCGTGATAAATTATTGAAAAAAACACATTGAAAAAAGTATTAAGAAAAGATATTATGAAATCTTTATTGGTATTGTGTCAAAACTAGTGAAAACAAGTTTTAGTTCAAAAATTAATTTAAATAAATTATGTGAGAAAACAAATATACATAGACGTTTTGAATAACACATTGAAATGCATTGCCCAGGTGATTAATTATGTTAAACAATGCTGACAGTAGTTCATACTGTTTTCAAGAATTCTGAGTATGGGTGGTAAAGGGTTATTTTTATGAGATATTGGAATGTTTTTCCAAAACAAAACAAAAAAACAAGTAAGCAAAGGCTATAGTCGTGCGGGGCCGACCATGTGATACCCTACAACACTACAATATGTTAGAAGCCCCCTTATGTCCAAATCCATTTTGGAAGATTTCGCTTTTGAAATTATGTCACCAGGAACATTTGCCCAATGTTTACGTACACCGTCGTGCATTTAGTTGTGTGGTCCATTTTACAGCTAAATATAATCCAATGGTCATCCAAAAGGCTAGACTTCTTCTTTGTCTTTAACTCTCTTCTCAGACGTGTCGATTGGCTTCAATTGTGTAATCAGATTTTTTTCTACTTTTGGTTCAATTGAACCCCGAAATATTTCGCGAAAGTAAGGGGCCCCTCTGTATCTCCAATTTAGAGTAATCTATATGATAGAGTAATCTGTATGATATGCTTATCTACGATATTTGGCCATATTCGTCAACGAAATCAGCACAAAAAAGCCAGAAGTTCGCCTTTTGTGTATTTCGGATATTGCCTGTAAGTAATGTTGGTAATTTTCCACACAAAAGTAGTGGTCCATTCTACCCGCTGTCCTTAACTCTAACTTCATGCGAGATTTCGTGTCCATTAGTGTCTATTTGTGACCTTTATAACAGCTGCAAAATCAGGAACATTTTTAGTTGTTGATCCATTTTAACCCCTCGATATATTGCGGACATCTTTGAAAATAATAGGCCTAGCCCTTCTGAGCCTAATCCTACCCTTGTGAAAATTTTTGTGATGATCAGACAATAAATGCAATCCGTATATAATAACCCCAACCTGTGTTGTAAGGTGAAAAAAATATATATTACAAAATAAACACTTCAATATTATAAGTCGAATGAAAAAAATTGCATGCAATAAAAATATGAAAAAATAGAAAAAATGTCACAAAATACTACAAAATCAATATTAACATCATTGTTGGCATCTTTTTATGGTTTTTTTTCAGATTCTATTCTTTTATGTCAAGAAGGCATTCCGAATTCATAAAATTTGTCAAAATCAGTCCAGCCATTCTTGAGATATAAGCATTCTAGCTAACATCCCCTTCCTTTGTATATATACTTTGTATAAATTCCGCTATATATATCCGATATATTAACTTACCCGATGACCATCAAAATCTGTAGAGCAACTGCAAACTCAGGAAATTTTTCAATTTTTGGTGCATTTCAACCCCTAAATATTATGAGATCATCTCCAAAAGCAATAGGATTCTATGCTGGCCCTAGCTCCACCTCCATTCTAAATTTCGTGAAGATCGGGCCATAATTGCGACCTGTAGAGTGATTACAAATTAACATATAGAGACGGACGGACGGACATGCATAGCTAGATCGACTCAGCTCGGTGAGATAAGAAGGTCCATATATACTTTCCTATGTGGGAAACCAATATTTCGAGGCGTTACATAATTTTTGGCCCAATAAAACTTATAATACCCCCAACACATAGTGTTGTAGGGTATAAAAACATGAAATACAGGGTGAGACGAAAAAACTGCAACCAATTTCAGACTGCTGTCCTTTCTAAGCCACTCGTCCGACAGCTGTTAAAATTATTCCAGTGACAGCTCATTATATTTTTTACAAGCGTACAAAAGCATTTTGGTGAGAATTTTTCAGGAAAAAAGTTATTCGTCATGGAATTCAAGCGTGATAGTGTGATTCCTTTATATTTGGCTGGAAAACCACAATTGGCTATCGTTAGAGTACCCCAGCATTTAAATAAATCTTTTGTGTCTCGTACCATCGCTCGTTATCGTGATACTGGTAGCGTAGCCCGATGTCAAGGAAGTGGACGGAAGAAAACAACATCAGCATAAATGGTTCGAAATGTAAAGAAGCGACTTGATCGAAACCCACGTTGCAGTGGCCGAAAAATGGCTCGTGAGCTGAACATATATATTCCATTCGGCAAATATTGAAAAATGAGCTCGGGGTAAAGCCATTGAAATTCCAAAAAGTGCAAGAATTTACACCGCAACAGAAAGAAAAGAGCTAAAGAGTGCATTCACTTGGCAAAAGTTGTGAACTGCCGAATTTGGTTTTTTCTCTCTCCGATGAGAAAACATTCGTTGTCCTGCAGTTTGTAAACAAACATAATGATCGTGTTCATTTGCCAAAGAGGTCAGCTAAAAATGTGCACCTTCAGTTGGCCAACAGAACTCAAGCGCCGACCATGGTGATGGTGTTGGCCGCCATAACAGCCGATGGTCGCTCTCCACTCGTATTAATCGACTGTGGCATCAGAACAAATGCCGAATATTATCGAGAAAATATTCTGGAGGGTGTATTAAAGCCTTGGGCACGCAAACATTTTGGCCGCAGATCTTGGACATTCCAACAGGACTCCGCACTGACGCACTCAGCACGCGCCACCCAAGAATGGTTACAAAATGAGGTTACTCGCTTCATTTCCAGCGCACAATGGCTACCAAAATCTCCGGATACCAATCCGTTGGACTATTGTGTCTGGAGAACTCGTATTTTGGAAAGCAAGGTTGGCACTAAAAAATACTAAAGTATCCATCACCTCAAGCAAGCGCTTCACCGGGAATGGACCGAAATACCGCAGAGCAACATTCGGGCAGCGTGTGAAGGTTTCATTGGTCGTTTGAAGACCATAATTCGTGCCAAAGGTGACCAATTCAAACAAACCTAATGATGCTATTTCTGACATTTTTGCTTTCATTCAATAAAATTTAAAAAAAAAAAATAAAAATTATGGCGTTTGACTTTGTTGCAGTTTTTTATCTCACCCTGTATATTTATTCATAATCAGCATAAAATTCTAAGATTCAAATCATCGGGAGACCAGCCCTATACCTTCACCCAATACCAAATTTAGTACCATTTGTTAGTTTTCGTACAAATACTGTACTTATTTCCAAACTACCGCCAAATCGCAAACACAGATACCATCAGTAATCTAAATATCAAATTTAAAAATTTTATCTCCATCCCTTCACTTAATACCAAATATAGTACATTCGGTACTTTTCGAACAATTATAGTATTCATTTCCAAAACCACCTCCATATCTTAACCAAAAACACCAACAATGGCATATCTTTTTAAATTTTCGGGATTCCAGCTCTATCCATTCTCCCAGTTCTCAATTTTGTAAAATTTTGTTCTTTTCGTGCAATTCTGGTATACATTTTCGAAAACACCTCCACATGTCCAAGCTACACATAAACAGATACCCTAATACCAAATTGTACCACTATTGTACTATTTAGTACATTTCGCACCTTTCCAAAAACCACATCTTTATCACAAACCTACCAGCAAAAGGGACCCTAATACAAAATTTCAGCTTTATCCGCCCACGCTGAACCATATTTAGTACCATTTAGTTCAGTTTATCCACTTAGTACACATTTTCAAAACCACCGTCATGAATCTAGCTCTTTTCGTTGACATAATATGAAATGGTAACATTTTAGAATTTTTGTACCACTTTAGAACTTTTCGTAACCTTAAAGTTCGAATTTCCAAAAACCCTTTGGTATATCTATCCTGCACTCAATCAGTGACTCTTACTTCAAATTTTAGAACTAGAGCTCATTCCGTTTGTCCAATACAAATCATTAAATTTTTAGTACATTTTGGTACGAAAGCAATATCACACGCCTACACACTAAGACCGACCCTCGTTCAAGACTTACCCTCGTGCAATTTCAAGATTCTAGCTTGAGCCGTTTCATTTCGGTACCAGTTATTTCCCTACTATTTCATTTCATGGTCCGATTTTACCCCTCTGCGAACTCGACCTATTCCATTTAGTTGTTCTAGGCCGAATATTTCATCTTTTGTAGAGTAGATTTCCTTCCTTACTAAATAAGGACTTTGGATGCATTTGAACATGACATTTTGCTGCAAAATCCAGTCTCTATCAAAACCAGAATTTTATCCTATCTAAATCTTACAATCCCCTTTTATATATCTTTCAGATGGTTCCGTTAAGCCAATATCCTACATGATGAAAACCAATCACGACAGTGATATGGTGCGTGAAATGTTAAAAGCTCACGACATGTTCGACGTGGAGAAGAGTATGTATGAAACGATTGTGCCTGCCTTTGAAAAGCTCTATGCCGATGCTGGTGTGGAAATAACATTTGGTCCGAACTGTTACGAATTGCCCACCGAAGAGTCGTATATTTTGTTGGAAAATCTAACGCCAAAAGGATTTAAAAATGTCAATCGTCTGGAGGGTCTCAATATGGAACATATGCAGAAAGTTCTACGTAAATTGGCCATGTGGCATGCTGCATCGGCGGTTTATGCCGAACAGAATGGTGGCTATGAAGATAAATATCGTTATGGATTTTTCCGTGAAGAATCCAAACCAATGATGAAATCCATGCACGACAATATGCATGCGTTGTTCATGAGCTGTCTCAAGAAGTATTCGAATCATGAGTTGTACTATGAGGAAATGGTAAGTCAGGGAAATGAGTAGGATGTGGGAAAAGTAGAAAGTATACAAACAATTATATTCAATTTTTATTTTCTTTCATTTCATTTAGGAAAATCTCCACTCCGAATTTCTCGATGAACTCTACAAAACTGTGAAAATCGATCCCAATGACTTCAATGTCCTAAATCATGGCGATTGTTGGGCCAACAACATTATGTTCCAGCACAATGAGTTGGGTGAAGTTCAGGAAACCTATCTGATAGATTACCAGCTACCCAAATATGGTAGCCCCGCCCAGGATCTCTACTATTTTATTTTATCCTCAGCCAGTTTTGATTTGAAATTAAGTAAATTTGATTATTTCATACAATTCTATCATGAAAATCTCTGTGCAAATTTGAAATTGTTGAAATATGGCAAGAAATTGCCATCGCTGAGAGATATTCACATAACCCTCTATAGACGTGGCATTTGGGGTCTGTTCACATCGACCGGAGTTATGGCTGCCGTGCTGTTGGATCCCAGCAAAGATGCCAACTTGGAACATTTCCTCGGTGACAGTGACAAGGCGGTTGCCTTCAAAATGGCCATGTACTCGAATGAACGTTATCGCAAACACATGGAGGTGATAATGCCATGGCTGAAATATCGTGGAGCATTTGATCTTAGTTGATTTTCGAATATTGTCTTAATTTATGTAGACTATTTATTTGGTTGTATTACGTGTGTATTACTTAAATAAATGTTGATGTTAGTTACATTTTTCTGGTAAAAAGATTTTATTTTAATGTAACCAAGTAAAGAAGGATTTATCACTGCCTCACCATTTGCAACAAATTCCCAAAAATTCCATATAATTGTGACTAAAACCATCCAAATATAGGTAGATACCACTATATTGTGGATATACAAAAATGTGAACCATTATACACAATTCTCTGTCAAGATCGAACCGTTCACAAAATGGAGATCGTGTACAGCTGTGCTTAAAAAATTGGAGATTATTACAACTTACAATAATATTCCTATCGAGTCTCGAGCCAAAATAAATATAAAGAAGATATTTCAAAAAATTTTAACAGACACCAAATTTTAAAAATAATCTCTTAAAACCCAAGGCTTTTAGCCAAGATGTTCTCTAATTATTCATAAAAAAATTAAGACATTTTTTCATAAGATCCTTGAAATCATTCCTAAAATCCTTGAAAATCATTCCTAAAAACTTACAGTTTTTTGTTGCATGCATAGTTTTCGAAAAACATTCTTAAAAAATCCTCAATTTTTGCCCTGTACTAAGTGTTCGAACTGTACCACAAGGTACTCGTTTTGAAACAGTTTAGTTTAGGGTGAACGGATGACGCTGGACTTATGAAAATTTGTATAGGGTCCCTGTTGCTAACGTACTAAATAGTACCAAAATTTGTAAAATTTGGTATTTGATAAACAGATAGTACTTCAAATATAAAATTTTGTATTAGGGTCGCTGTTCATGTGTAGCCTGGGCATATGCAGGTGGTTTCGGCAATGTGTACTATAAATGTACGAAAAGTACTGAATGGTGTTATAATTAGTAGTTGTGTGAAGGGATAGAGATACAATTTTGAAATTTTATATTTAGATCTGTCGGTGGATTTGGAAGTGTGTACTATAATTGTTCGAAAAGTTCTGAGGAGTACTATATTTGGCATTGGGTGAAGGGATAGAAATAAAATTCTAAAATTTAATATTAAGATTACTGATGATATCTCTATTTGAATTTTTAGGAGGTTTTGATTTGTGCTATAATTGTTCGAAGAGTACTAATTAGTTCTAAATTTGGTATTGAGCTGGAATCCTTAAATTTTACATTGAGGCCCCTATTGTTATCTCGGAGTGAGATATGGAGGTGTCTTGGAAATGTTCACTTTAATTGTATAAAAAGGACTAAGTTTGGTATTGAGTGGAGGAATGGAGCCAAAATCCTGAAATTTGATATAGATGTTACTGTTTGTGTCTTTTGTTAAAATATGGTTTTTTTTGGAAATGTGTAAATGGTACGCCAAGTACTTAATAAATCATTTATATAAAATCCTGAAATTTTATATAGATATCACTGCTGATATCTGTGGTTAAGATATGGAGGTTTTTCGGAAATGTGTACTATAATTGAACGAAAAGTACTAAATGGTACTAAATTTGGTATTGGGTGAAGGGATAGAGATTAAATTCTTAATTTTGGTAGTACTAAATTGCGGAATTGGGGAAGGAAGAGAGATGAAATTCGGACATTTGATATAGATGTCACTGTTGGTGTTTAAAGTTGAGAGAAGGAGCTGTTTTGGGAAATGTGTACTATAATTGTTCGTAAAGTACTAAGTGGCACTAAATTGGGTACTGGATGAAGGGGTAGAGCTGGAATCCTTAAATTTTTACATTGAGGCCCCTGTTGTTATCTCGGAGTGAGATATGGAGGTGTCTTGGAAATGTGTACTATAATTGAGCGAAAAGTAATAAATTTCGTATTAAGTGAAGGGTCCGAGCTGGAATCCTAACTGACTGACTACGACCACGTTTAAGACTAGTTTTAACCATATATTGAACAAGTTAAAAAGTAGTAAATTCGGCCGGGCCTCCTCCATTTGGAACGAATTTAGAAATTTTCAAAAAATAATATCCGTTAAAAACTCTGTTAAAATCTTAAAAATACCGAATAAAGCTGTTATATTGGGGTCTATACGACGTGGACCTACATAGGCATTGTTTGTTATAAGCCATTACCATATTCAATTCGAAACTTGAAATAAACGGTGAATAATGTAGCTAAAATCATAAAAATACCGAATATCGGGAGGTACCGTTATATGGGGCCTATACGGAGACCTGAACCTGCATATACAATTTTCTGTCACAGGCTGTAGCATCCATTACAAACTTCAAATTCGACATTTCAAACAATTTCGGTGAGTATTGTACCTAAAATCGTCAAAATACCGAATATTGGGAGGTACTGATGTGGGGCCTATACGAAGACCTGAACCTGCATAGACAATTTTCTGTCTTGAAATGTTGTATCCATTACGAACTTCAAATACCAAATTTGGAACAATTCCGGTGAATAATGTCGCTAAAATCATCAAAATACCGAATATCGGGAGGTACCATTATATGGGGGCTATACGTGAACCAGCACAGACAATTTTCTGTCTTAGGCTGTTATATCCATTACGAACTTCAAATACCAAATTTGGAACAATTCCGGTGAATAATGTCGCTAAAATCATCAAAATACCGAATATCGGAAGGTACCATTATATGGGGGCTAAACGATGGCGTGGACCAGCACAGACAATTTTCTGTCTTAGGCTGTTGTATCCATTACGAACTTCAAATACAAAATTTGGAACAATTCCGGTGAATAATGTCGCTAAAATCATGGAAATACCGAATATCGGCAGGTGCCATTATATGGGGGCTATACCAAAGCGTGGACCTACATGGCCCATTTTCAATATCAAAAGTCCTGCAGACATAATATACATTTGAGTTAGATTTTATCAATCTAATTCAATTCGTTCGGAAGCTAGAGTGATTTCCGCAGACGGAGGGACATCGCTAAATCAACATAGAATTTTATGCTGATCAAGAATAAATATAATTTGTGGGGTCTAAAATGTATATTTCGAGGTGTTGCAAACGGTATGACAAACTTAATATACCCTCCATACAATGGTGGAGGGTATAAAAATGGCCGATGGACAGCGATTATAATCCCAGATATAAAAGAATGGACAAGGCGAAAGCATGGATACATAAACTAGTACATAACATATGATTTCCGTACATTGTTCTTTACGTAAATATTTATTTAATCATGTCAAAAACAATTCCCCGTTCTGCTTGTATGAAGGAGCAGACAATGTAGATGACACAGACAATACTCTCTTCTCAAGCAGTCGTTGAGAAAACTTCCGATCAGAAGTGCAAACAGCTCATATAAAAATTATTTAATCATAACAAAACTGAAATACAATGTCCAATTTCTGCGAGCAATAATTAAAAATTAAATAGAAGGACTTAGGCAACCCTTTAAGATCTCGTAACGAATAGCGGAGCATGGACAAAGTAACACAAAAGTGGTGCCGGTGTGATCGCAAGTCCAAAAGGTTCGTATGTGGGTTTTTAGTCGGTACAATCGAATCCAAATCCAATGAGCACATTTTGGTCGTATTGAATGCTAGATAATAATCTTTTACAAATGAAAAGTAGAGCGTATATCAGCCATCTTCTATATTTTCCGTAATTTTTAGTAAAAAAATGTTTCTAATATTATTTTATTTAAAACTATACCACTACCCCTCCTAGTCATGCTGACTTAATAATATGATGGTATTTCACATTTAACATGAATTGATTAATTGGCAACGGTGTATTCTATATACCCCAATTGTACCCAATTTTATAGAGTTTCAATAAATAGATAATTGCTTACTCAGCAAATTTTCCCAAATATTATCGATACAAGCAATGTATAGGCCACACGTCTCCAGGGAAATAATCTTTATGTACAGATAAGTATGTACAACATACGTGGTATGCTTATCTTGACCCCACTTTGTGATATCTGCCGATAGACTGAGCACGTACATAAGTATGTTGTGATTTTGGACAGGCATTTCATTTCCTATCTAAAATAATTGTTGATAGCGAAATTTTAGTATTTATTTCGTAATTCTGCACGGAATTTTCGAACATTTAAAATCAATTAGTGTTATGGTTTACCTAATAGCGATCCGTTAATAACAATAGCCAGTTCTTAGATAAACAACATAGAGTTCGGTAGATTTTATAGAAATGGCGGATGAAAATAATGTGAAGACCAGTGCCCCAATACCCTCGTGGATTCAAGAATCTTTATTTGAAAATGTTTTAAAAGAAAATGTTCCAGAATTTCGCTGCATTAAAAAATTCGAAGTTAACCCTGGCTCAGCGGCGGGTGAAAATTATGCCACAGTTATTCTCCGAGTAAATGTTGATGTTGAATTGCAAGGTAAACGGTTGTAATTTTGAAAACAGGTGAAACAAGAAAAAAATAAGTAAAAAAGCATGCAACCATTTGGAAGTGAATTGCAAAATGTAAAAAAAGTCCATTGACAAACATGCCTCTAAGATTATCAAATTATCTGCCAGAGTAGGCCCATTGCGAACTCCAAATACCGATTTGGACATAATTCCATTAAAAATGTCGATAAAATCGTGTAAATACCGAATGTCGGGAGGTACAATTTTATCCGAGCTATACGAAGTCGTGGACCTGTATAAGAAATTTTCTGTCACAAACTCGACACTTTAAATAATTCTGTTGAAAAATGTGACACAAATCATCAAAATACCAAATTATTGGAGGTTACTGTACCTATGGTAACTATGGAGAATATATTATTCTTGGTATAGACAGTTCTATGCAAAGATGTTTCCAAACTACCATACAAAGTACCCATTTACTGCAGTCGAGCACCCTGAAAACGATAGGGCGAAGCGAATAGTACAGTTTATGATGAGTGATGTTGTAAATGAATTCCGGAACAAGAAGTTCAAACTTCGTAGAGTGAAGCAGGGAATTTTCCAAGGTGGAATGATACCTCTTTCTCTAGACGATATTGAGATCGTAACGTACGATCATGGCGTCGGGCCCCGGTGTTGATGACATACATGTAATGATGATGTATGAACATCTATATCCCGGAGCTTGGCGACTACTTCCACACTCTTTACAACATGGTCTGCGGAGATGAAAACAGAGCTGAATGTGCAGGTCGGAGGAAGTATAATTTAGACCACGAAGTTCCCCAAGATCCTACGGATCACATTCAACAGCAGGTTAAAGTCGTTCGCGCAAGCCAGCGATAAAATTATCATAGTCCGACAAAATAATTCTAGTCGACCGTACATGAATGCGGACATGGAAACCCTGTTGACCTCTTACAATGCGATAGGTTGGTCTGTAGTCAATTATGCGACCTCCGAGTGGTCTGCCAATATAAGTGGTACGCAGTAGAAGAACATCCAGACCTGCCAGAATGCTGCCCCAAGAACAGCGACAGGGCGCCTTCTTATGCCATCAGTGGCCCATCTGTAAGAGGTGGCGAAGATCTTTCCCATACTTCAGCGTAACCATATGCTTTCGTTGCAGTACCAGCTTGGGTGTTATCGTGGAAGTCACTCAAACCATCATATGCTGGATAAAACTCCCCCCAATCCAGCGTGTCATGAAGGACCTACACGATCTAGAGAGGGAGGTGCAGTGCTACAATAGGGGCTCAAGATCACAATACTCTGCACCTTTTTAATTGCCCTGCTAAACCTATCACTCTCATTCCAGAAGATCTCAGGTGACAACCTACGAAAGTATACGAATATGGGAATCTAGAGTTAGAATCGGACTAACAGAAGTCAAACAAAACTTGCGAAGCTTTTACAACAACAACCAATTTACAACAAATTTGGTTCAAAGTTATGAGATGGAGGTCCAGTGCTACAATAGTCGCTCTATATCACAATACTCTACACCTTTTTAACTGCCCTGCCAAACCTATCCCACTCACTCCAGAAGATCTCTGGTTACAACCTACGAAAGTATACCAATTTGGAAATCTAGAGTTAGAACGAGACTAGCAGAAATCAAACAAAACATGCGAAACTTTTACAACAACAGCAAATTCGGTTTAAACTTGTGACAAAAACGACCAACACACAATAAATTTGCCAGTACAGTTATTTGAGATTATACAAAAAAGTGGACCTCTATTGCCCATTTTAAATATCAAAAATCCTGCACACCTAAAATAAATCTGACTGACATTTCTCCAACCTTCCTAATTTTGTTTGGAAACTAGAGTGATTTTTATAGACGGCCAGGCGAACGGACATGGTTAAATTGGCGTATAATTTAATGCTGGTCAAGAAAATATTCATACTTTGTGGTATCTGAAATTTATATTTCGAGATATTCCAAGCCGACTGATAAACTTAATATACCTTCCATACTATGACGGAGGGTATACACAAAGTAGCTAGTACCAATTTGGAAAATGAGACTACCTCTTTAATTCTGTCATGATTTCCAACAACATGATATCCGAGGTAATGACGGGATATTTTGCTCTGATCTATCATATAAATGCATTGCGTACAACCGTACCCAAAATCTCGACATACCCAAAAAATGTATACGCCCGTATTACCAAAAACACCATGACCATATATAAGTTTTGTTTACGATTTTTTACCTTTCATACTGTGCTTCCAATCACAACAAGTGTTTTGACAACTTATCTTGATAATCAGCTACAAATAGAGTACCTACTAATTGTACCATGGAAACAGCCACAGATTCATAATTGTTCATAAGACAAGAAGTGTATCTATTAATACTGGACGGCATGCTGGCGTCACTCGTTTTCTTATTCTTTGCACCGCAGGCTGTTTTCTGCTCGATTCCGCGTGTCCAGCGTTGGGGCTCAGATCTCTGAACCATACAGAAGAATACTGTTTATAACTTTCATTACCATTTTCTGGGAGAGGATTCTCTATGTGTGCCATCAATCCGCTGATGGATGAGATGTTATTTTGGCAGCCTTCGTTGTTTCACACTCGATCAATTTAAAGAAAGTGAGTTTGGTGTCTAACCTCATCCCTAATTATTGAATGCATGATTCCGGAGAATTAAGTTATGACCTTGTCAGAAGTAGATCTGCAGTTTTTTGCATAGCCAGTTCTAGGCCGTGGGAGTGCAGTCAGGCCTTTGTACATATTATTGGTTGTCGCAATTTTCATTGTGCCTCTTTGGTGGTTCTTGTTTGATTACTGCTGCGTGTCATCTGGCATCTGTATTTGTAGGATTTTATCGTATGTCGCATTCCAAAGGCGTGGTCCCAGTATATATCCTTGAGCAGCTCCCTAGCTGATTTGCAACTTTCGTATACCCTGCATTGTCTCATATATCAATATGCGGTTTCGAAGATAGTCTCTTATCATGTTCATTACATACGTCGGGTTATTGAACATTTTATCAAGCGTTCCTAGGCCGCCAGCCCATCGCAAACTAATAAATGAATTTTTACATTTAGCGTTAAAAAATAATTGGTCTTGAGTAGTGGTTTCCCTGTTATGCAGCTTCAAAGGAGCTTACCACTTAATTTAGGACACCCATTGTGGACGTACCGGGGCGGAAACCGAACTGTCGCCTGGAGAGTCCTCCTGCGAAGCAAATTGCATCTCCGAGTCTTGGTTTTAACGGTTTAGTTGTTCAAACATATTATCTGTTGTATCTAACATACCCAGCAGCTTTTGTATTTTAATTTTAGTAACACATCTGTTAGGGATAGTGATATTTGTTTTATACCTACGGCTGCTATTCCGTCCTGTCCAAGTGTCTTTCTATTTTTATACCCTCCACCTTGGAAAGGAGGGTATATTAACTTTGTCATTTCGTTTGTAACATCCTTAAATATTCGTCGCATACCCCATAAAGTACATATATTCATAATCAGTATAAAATTCTAAGTCGATTTAACAATGTCCGTCTGTCTGTCTGTTGAAATCACGATACAGCCCACATTATTTGACGTAGAGCGCCAAAATTTAGCAGAGCAATTTGTTTTGTGTCTAGGATGGTTGGTTATGAAAATGTCGGTCCACGTTTTGGAATAGTCCCCATATAACGGTACCTCCCGATATTCGGTATTTTGATGATTTATGCCACATTTTTTCACGGATTTGTCTGAAAATTGGTATTTATAGGTCATAACGGGTCCCAGTTCGTATGGCGAGACATTGTATGTAGAGGTCCACGCTTTGGTATAGTCCCCATATAAAGGTACCTCCCGATATTCGGTATTTTGATTATTTTTGCCACATCTTTTCACGGATTTGTCTAAAACTTGATATTTGTTGGTCATAATGAGTTCCAGCTCCGGTGGCGAAACATTGTATGTATAGGTCCACGTTTTGGTATAGTCCCCATATAACAGTACCTCCCGATATTAGTTATTTTGATGATTTTTGACACATTTTTTCACGAGTTTCTCTGAAAATTGGTAGTTGTAGGTCATAATGGGTCCCAGTTCGTATGGCGAATCATTGTAATTATAGGTCCACGTTTTGGTATAGTCCCCATATAACGGTAACTCCCGATATTCGGTAGTTTCATGATTTTTACCACATTTTTTCATGGATTTGTCTGGAAATTGGTATTTGTAGGTCATAATGGGTTCTATCTCCTTTAGCGAAACATTGCATGTATAGGTCCACGATTTTGTATAGGACCCATATAGCCGTATTTCCCGATATTCGGTATTTTGATGATTTTTGGATCATTGTCCCATGAATATATCTAATAATTGGTATATGTGAGTCATAATAGGCTCACATGTTTCCTTTGCCCTAAGGTTGAGGGTATTAAAAGTTTGGCCCTGCCGAACTTAATGTTTTTTTATTTGTTAAGATTCGTTTATCTTTCCGACTGAGCGTTATATTCATGAGGCATCACATAATCATATAAAAGATCCTGCACCTTCGGTAAAAAATAAATCTCTTCCAAAAGTGTGTCACACTCCTACAAAGTCAGAATTGTGCTGGATTTATGAGAAAATGCAGCTCTATTCGTGGCAAATCGTCATTAGGCAGTTTATAGCGTTTCATTTCTTTTCGACCAATAACTTTGCACATAGACGAACCTCGCAGCATCAGCCGTCAATTGATAATTCACATGGATTCGGGACTGCAATTCAACTCCAATAACATCTTTTGCTGTTATTAAATTAGAACGGTGTTATTTTTCCACAACCATAACCCTTGTTAATACTGAATTGAACTTGGCAAGTGCAAACTTACCTTTGGTAAAATTACAGCAGGTTATGACTCAAAGACTACATATTTTTTCTACTTCTCTACTAATATATTTCAATCTATGCGGAAGGTCATTTATGATAACATTGGATCTATGGATACGTCTATGCAATACATTTTTTTTTTGCCTTTCCTGTCATCCAATTTATGCTGAAAATCTTTAACAGAAGTAGCTTCATAATTGCAAACATCAACATCGTTCATCACAAATCGGAGATTCTTTTCCACGTTATCTACTCTATTACGGCAGAATGTAACCTGTTTACGCAAAGAATCCATAAACTCAAAGCGGAAAGAACAATAGCCGTTTGAAAATCTTCCATTTGTATTTCTGCATCTATCTATGAATGTTTTTCTTCATCTCTGAGGCCAAGGACACAAACCACGTCTGTATCTCACAACTATCATTTAGCTTTCAAATTTGTTCGTAATGGATACTACAGCCTACGACAGAAGATTGTTTGTGCAGGTCCACGTCTTTGTATAGCCCCCATATAACGGTACCCCCCCGATATTCGGTATTTTGATGATTTTAGCGACATTATTCACCGGAATTGTTTCAAATTTGGTATTTGAAGTTTGTAATGGATACTACAGCCTAAGACAGAAAATTGTCTGTGCAGGTCAACGTCTTCGCATAGCCCCCATATAACGGTACCTTTCTATATTCGGTAGTTTTATGATATTAGCTACGGTATAATGTTGTTAAACTTTTCAGAAAACCACAAAGTGGCTGAGGCCGTTGTATAGGGACCACACCACAACGGGAACCTCTATACACAATTTTATACTTCATAGATTGTCACGTACCAAATCTTCTTAAATACCAAATTGGAAACAGTTTCGTGGGTAAATGTGACTAGAATTACCAAAAGACCGAATATTGGTCGGTATCGTTATATATGCGTAATAGGAAAACGTGGACCTAAATATTCAATTTTCTGCCACAGGAGCTAGAACCCATTATGAACTAAAAATACCAATTTTTAGACAAATCCGTGGAAAAATGTGGCAGAAACCATCAAAATACCGAATATCGGGATGTACCGTTATATGAGGTTATACCAAAACGTGGACTTAACATACAATGTTTTGCCACACGAGCTAGAACCCATTATGACCTACAAATAACAATTTTTAAACAAATCCGTTAAGAAATGTGGCAAACGTCAACAAAATAGCGAATATTGAAAGGTACCGTTATATGGAGACTATACCGATATATCTCATTTTCAATACCAACCATCCTAGACACAATACAAATTGTTCTGCTAAATTTACATTTTAATTGTTCTGCTAAATCCAATAATATCGTGATTTCAACAGACAGACAGGCAGACTTAGAATTCTATGCTGATTATAAATATATATACTTTATGGGGTCTACGATGAGTATTTAAGGATGTTACAAACGGAATGACAAAGTTAATTTACCCTCCATTTCAAGGTGGAGGGTATAAAAACAAGTTAAAAAATATAGGTCGGGTTTGCCGACTCCTGGTATGATTATTTACATTTTTGGCCCTCTATACCGTAGGTTTCTAAAGAATGGGGAATGGGTAAATAAATATGATATAAATATTGCGACGTGCCAGGTTTGTATTTCCTTCACTTTATATGAAATATGTGTTAATTTTTAGAAAATATTAAAATGTGCGTAGGTTGCCAAATAAAGTGGACAGAAGTATTCCATTTTCATACTTCAGCCAATACAGATAAAAATATTGGTATGGGAAAAATTACAAGAAAATCGAATATTTATATTCAATTTTATGCGAAATCATAAATTCCATATTCATATCAGGTTTCTGGTTGAGAGAAATATTTAGATATAAAGAATCGCTGATTTGTTTCGCAAATTATAACAGATAAAATATTGAAAATTGTGACCCTTTGTGAGTGAGCTACCAAGACGGGTTCGCAAATATATATCATCTTCATAACAAATCTTGAGTTAGCAAAAATGAAATTTGAAGAGAGTTGGGTACTTATTTCGCTTTCTTTGAGCGTTTTGTTTTTCAAAATCTGGATCCCCATGTGGGGAAGGTACAAAAAGAAATGGTCCGACCTGTACCATCTTTATAACAAGTCGTGTGTTGATGTAAATATTGAGATGTACTAAGTCTGAATGGAATCGCGTTTTATGAGCTTCATGGATACTCAAAATTTTGACCCTTTGGGGGGGAGATACCTAAAGAAGTGGACCGATATATCCTAATTTTACACCAGACCTTGGGTTAATAAAAATATTTTGATGTATTTAATTTGAAGACAACCGAAAGCTTATTTCGGATTTTATGATCGTTTTGGTTGTTAAAAATGTTGACCCTTTGTGGGGAAGGTACCAGAAGGAGTGGAGCTACATATTACATGTTCACATCAGACCTTGGTTTAATGAAAATAGTGTGATCTGTAGTTGTCCGATATTGGCCATCTCTAAACTCAATCTATACCTGATAATAATATTACGAAATGCCAAGTTTGGACCAAATCGGATACTCCCTTATCGTGCGCACCAGCCAACCAGACAGACAGACGGACAAATCGGGTCTAAAATCGTTATTTCGATGAAACACGTTTTTTGCCGTATAAAATGATATATATTCTCTCTATCCATATGCTGAGAGTATAAAAATGAGTATCATCTACACTTTAATAATCAGGTCCCAAACGTTCACGATTAGAACAGTAACCCCTAGTTCATATCTGCACATTGGGCTACGAAAACAGCTATTGAAAGTTGACCTAATCACTCATTTATTAATTTTTATGAAAATTATATTAACAACCCTTTTCCGTCTCTTACAGATGGTTCCACAAAATCCCTATCGTATATGCTGAAAACCGATCATGACAACGACATGTTGAAAGAAATGATGGGTTCGCATGATATGTTTGCCATTGAAAAGGGCATGTATGACGATATAGTTCCAGCTTTTGAAAAACTTTACGCTGATGCTGGTGTGACAGTGAGATTTGGACCCAACAGCTATGTTCTGCCCACCGAAAAACCCTATATCTTACTGGAAAATTTAAGTCCTCGTGGTTTTAAAAATGCCAATCGTTTGGAGGGTTTAGATCAGCAACATGTCGAGTGTGTTCTCACCAAACTGGCACAATGGCATGCAGCCTCGGCGGTTTATGTTCAGAAGAATGGTCCCTTCGATGAAAAATACCGCGATGGTTTCTACAAGGAGGAGTTCAAGCCAATGATGAAAATAATGAATGACCAAATGACGCATATTTTCCATGAGGCAGCAAAAACATATGCGAATTATGAGGAATATGCAGACTATTTGGTAAGTCTGAAAAAAATCTTTACTACAAAAGATGAGATCATCTAAAAAGTGTTTTTTTTCGAATGTAGGTACCCGCCGAAGATCCTATAGACATGATGTTTCGTCTGGCCAAAACAAACCCCAGTGAATTTAATGTCCTCAACCATGGCGATTGCTGGAGCAACAATGTCATGTTCCAATACGATGCCTTTGGCGCCATTAAAGATACCTACTTAATTGATTATCAGCTACCCCGTTATGGTACACCTGCCCAGGATCTGTACTATTTCCTCATATCTTCAGCGAAATATGAAGTGAAATTGAAGAAATTTGATTATTTCATAAAATTCTATTACGACGTTTTGTGTGAACACTTGAAGGTGTTGAAGTATTCGAAACCAATTCCAAAGTTGCGTGATATCCATATAATGCTATACAAATATGGTCTTTTCGGATTCCAAACAGCTGTTGGCGTAATGGGTGTGGTTTTGTTGGATCCAACTGATAAGGCGAGCATAGCGAACTTTATTGGGGATGATGGTGATGCTGCAGCATTTAAGAAGCTGATGTTTACCAACGATCGTTACAGGAGACACATTGAGGCCGTCTTACCATGGCTCAACAATCGCGGTGCCTTTAGATTTTAGTTAAAAAATGTAATATTTCTTTTACAATAATGAATTTATGTTTTCGGTAGCAATTTGGCCCTGTGGGCTGCATTTAAATAAATAAAATTTAATACTTTTTAATAGAACAACAAATACTGACAATTTTTATTGTTATTATACCCTCCGCCATATATTGTATGGATGGCATATTGAGATTTTCATTCCTTCATCGAAAAGAAAAAATCATTTAAGACCCTATAAAGTATATATATTTTCGCTCAGAGCAAAATTCTGGGATTATTTAAACATGTCCGGTATCGAGCAATCTGCGAGTTCAATAAGATTGAAAATGGCACATATAAGTCCACTACAGCCTCCATATAATGGCGAGGGCTGATTTAATGTATTTTGACGGCATTGACCGTATTTTCAGCGTCCCACAAAAAATTCAAATAATTTAGAGGTTGGAAACATTTATTCCGGAACAGTTTAGAAGGCGTCTGCCGATATTCCGTCTAATATATACTCTCAGTATTTGACCATACACAGGGTGATATAAAAAAACTGCAACAAAGTTAAAAGCCATAATTTTTAATTTTTTTTTTAATTTTATTGAATGAAAGCAAAAAATGTCGGAAATAGCTTTACATTTTAGAATAAGTTTAGATTTGTTCGAATTTGTCACCTTTGGCATGAATTATGGCCTTCAAACGGCCTATCAACCGTCACACGCTGCCCGAATGTTGCCCATTTTCGGTGAAGCGCTTGCTTGAGGTAATAGACACTTTGGTATTTTTTAGTGCCAACCTTGCTTTCCAAAATACTCCAGACACAATAGTCCAACGGATAGGTATCCGGAGATTTTGGTGGTCATTGTGCGCTGGAAATGAAGCGAGGAGCCTCATTTTGTAACCATTCTTGAGTGGCGCGTACTGAGTGCGATGCTGCTGAGTCTTGTTGGAATGTCCAAGGTCTACGGGCAAAATGTTTGTGTTCCCAAGGCTTTAATACACCCTTCAGAATATTTTCACGATATTCGGCATTTATTCTGATGCCATGGTCGGTTAATACGAACGGAGAGCGACCATCGGCTGTTATGGCCGCCCATACCAACACCCTGGCCGGCGCTTGAGTTCTGGTGGAGAACCGAAGGTGCACATGTTCAGCTGACCTCTTTGGAAGTAAACACGATCATTTTGTTTGTTTACAAACTGTTCTTTTGGATATGATCGCATAATATATAGGGGTTGAAATGGACCAAATACTGAAAAATTTCTTGATTTTACAAGTGTTCTACAGGTCGCAATTATAGACCAATCGACGCGGAAGTTAGCATGGGGCTAGAGCTCAGGACTGGGCAGAAGCCTTCCAATTTTGATGGTCATCGGGTAATATTTAGTGGTTGAAATAGACCATAGCATTTGTGATAAATAAAAGTAAAATTTTCCATTAAACCACGAATATTTTCAATGCCGGCGAAATCACAAATAAACGAACAGGTCAATTCTGACCGTTACGTAGATGCCAATAGTAAAAATATCGGATATATAGCGAAATATATACAATGTATGTGTACAATGGAAGGGGATGTTAGCTAGAAGGCTTATATCTCAAGAATGGCTGGACCGATTTTGACAAATTTTGTAAATTTAGAATGCTCTTTTGGTATAAAAGTATAAAATCTAAAAAATTGCATAAAAAGATACCAATAATGATGTTAATATAAATGTTGTAGTATTTTGTGACATTTTTTTATTTTTTCATATTTTTTATCGCATGCGATTTTTTCAATTTGACTTATAATATTGAAGTGTATATTTTGTAATATTTTTTCACTTTACAACACAGGTTGGGGTTATTATTATATACATATTGCAATTATCGTCCGATCCTGACGAAAATTTTCACAAGGGTAGGATAAGGCTCAGAAGGGCTAGGTCTATCGTTTTCAAAGATGTCCACAATATATTTAGAGGTTGAAATGGACCAACCATTAAAAATATTCCTGATTTTGCAGTTGTTATAAAGGTAACAAATAGAAACCAAAGGACACCAAATCTTGCATGAAGTTGGAATTTAAAACAGCGGGTAGAATGGACCACTACTTTTGTTTGAAAAAATACCAACATTACTTACAGGCGATATTCGAAATACACAAAAGGCGAACTTCTGGCTTTTTTATGCAATTTCGTTGACGAATATAGCCAAATATCGTAGACAAGCAAATCATATATTTTTTCTACTTCTCTACTAATATATTTCAATCTATGCGGAAGGTCATTTATGATAACATTGGATCTATGGATACGTCTATGCAATACATTTTTTTTTTGCCTTTCCTGTCATCCAATTTATGCTGAAAATCTTTAACAGAAGTAGCTTCATAATTGCAAACATCAACATCGTTCATCACAAATCGGAGATTCTTTTCCACGTTATCTACTCTATTACGGCAGAATGTAACCTGTTTACGCAAAGAATCCATAAACTCAAAGCGGAAAGAACAATAGCCGTTTGAAAATCTTCCATTTGTATTTCTGCATCTATCTATGAATGTTTTTCTTCATCTCTGAGGCCAAGGACACAAACCACGTCTGTATCTCACAACTATCATTTAGCTTTCAAATTTGTTCGTAATGGATACTACAGCCTACGACAGAAGATTGTTTGTGCAGGTCCACGTCTTTGTATAGCCCCCATATAACGGTACCCCCCCGATATTCGGTATTTTGATGATTTTAGCGACATTATTCACCGGAATTGTTTCAAATTTGGTATTTGAAGTTTGTAATGGATACTACAGCCTAAGACAGAAAATTGTCTGTGCAGGTCAACGTCTTCGCATAGCCCCCATATAACGGTACCTTTCTATATTCGGTAGTTTTATGATATTAGCTACGGTATAATGTTGTTAAACTTTTCAGAAAACCACAAAGTGGCTGAAGCCGTTGTATAGTGACCACACCACAACGGGAACCTCTATAGACAATTTTATACTTCATAGATTGTCACGTACCAAATCTTCTTAAATACCAAATTGGAAACAGTTTCGTGGGTAAATGTGACTAGAATTACCAAAAGACCGAATATTGGTCGGTATCGTTATATATGCGTAATAGGAAAACGTGGACCTAAATATTCAATTTTCTGCCACAGGAGCTAGAACCCATTATGAACTAAAAATACCAATTTTTAGACAAATCCGTGGAAAAATGTGGCAGAAACCATCAAAATACCGAATATCGGGATGTACCGTTATATGAGGTTATACCAAAACGTGGACTTAACATACAATGTTTTGCCACACGAGCTAGAACCCATTATGACCTACAAATAACAATTTTTAAACAAATCCGTTAAGAAATGTGGCAAACGTCAACAAAATAGCGAATATTGAAAGGTACCGTTATATGGAGACTATACCGATATATCTCATTTTCAATACCAACCATCCTAGACACAATACAAATTGTTCTGCTAAATTTACATTTTAATTGTTCTGCTAAATCCAATAATATCGTGATTTCAACAGACAGACAGGCAGACTTAGAATTCTATGCTGATTATAAATATATATACTTTATGGGGTCTACGATGAGTATTTAAGGATGTTACAAACGGAATGACAAAGTTAATTTACCCTCCATTTCAAGGTGGAGGGTATAAAAACAAGTTAAAAAATATAGGTCGGGTTTGCCGACTCCTGGTATGATTATTTACATTTTTGGCCCTCTATACCGTAGGTTTCTAAAGAATGGGGAATGGGTAAATAAATATGATATAAATATTGCGACGTGCCAGGTTTGTATTTCCTTCACTTTATATGAAATATGTGTTAATTTTTAGAAAATATTAAAATGTGCGTAGGTTGCCAAATAAAGTGGACAGAAGTATTCCATTTTCATACTTCAGCCAATACAGATAAAAATATTGGTATGGGAAAAATTACAAGAAAATCGAATATTTATATTCAATTTTATGCGAAATCATAAATTCCATATTCATATCAGGTTTCTGGTTGAGAGAAATATTTAGATATAAAGAATCGCTGATTTGTTTCGCAAATTATAACAGATAAAATATTGAAAATTGTGACCCTTTGTGAGTGAGCTACCAAGACGGGTTCGCAAATATATATCATCTTCATAACAAATCTTGAGTTAGCAAAAATGAAATTTGAAGAGAGTTGGGTACTTATTTCGCTTTCTTTGAGCGTTTTGTTTTTCAAAATCTGGATCCCCATGTGGGGAAGGTACAAAAAGAAATGGTCCGACCTGTACCATCTTTATAACAAGTCGTGTGTTGATGTAAATATTGAGATGTACTAAGTCTGAATGGAATCGCGTTTTATGAGCTTCATGGATACTCAAAATTTTGACCCTTTGGGGGGGAGATACCTAAAGAAGTGGACCGATATATCCTAATTTTACACCAGACCTTGGGTTAATAAAAATATTTTGATGTATTTAATTTGAAGACAACCGAAAGCTTATTTCGGATTTTATGATCGTTTTGGTTGTTAAAAATGTTGACCCTTTGTGGGGAAGGTACCTGAAGGAGTGGAGCTACATATTACATGTTCACATCAGACCTTGGTTTAATGAAAATAGTGTGATCTGTAGTTGTCCGATATTGGCCATCTCTAAACTCAATCTATACCTGATAATAATATTACGAAATGCCAAGTTTGGACCAAATCGGATACTCCCTTATCGTGCGCACCAGCCAACCAGACAGACAGACGGACAAATCGGGTCTAAAATCGTTATTTCGATGAAACACGTTTTTTGCCGTATAAAATGATATATATTCTCTCTATCCATATGCTGAGAGTATAAAAATGAGTATCATCTACACTTTAATAATCAGGTCCCAAACGTTCACGATTAGAACAGTAACCCCTAGTTCATATCTGCACATTGGGCTACGAAAACAGCTATTGAAAGTTGACCTAATCACTCATTTATTAATTTTTATGAAAATTATATTAACAACCCTTTTCCGTCTCTTACAGATGGTTCCACAAAATCCCTATCGTATATGCTGAAAACCGATCATGACAACGACATGTTGAAAGAAATGATGGGTTCGCATGATATGTTTGCCATTGAAAAGGGCATGTATGACGATATAGTTCCAGCT